AGCTCTCACCAGCTGCCGTCAGCCTGGGGGAGCCACGCCTGTGTGTGCAACGCCCCTTCCCTCTCTGAGTCCTCCTCTGCATCCCTCCAGCCCGCTGCTGGAGACGTGGGTATTCACCGCGTAGCTTCAACACAGCCGGGGACGTGGTCGTTTTCCGGTGGTGGTCCAGCGTGTGGAAGAGCGGCGCTGACTTCCGGCCGCTCTAGCCAGGGCTCTGTGGGGCTGTCCCGTCGGCGCCCGCGGCTCCTCTGTTGGTTCAATTGGATTCTCTACATAGGGGGTTATCTCTTCTGCAGTCTTTTGTCCCCCACAAGGCTGCCCCTGGGTCAGACACGTTCCGGGTCCTGCCTAGGGACATTCAGGCACACAGTCGGTACCCGTCCTGAACTCAGGCACACCTGGGGGCAGGATGCGTGTCCAGCGTCCAGCAGGAGCTGTGCCCAGGTGAGTGGCCAGCCCCGGGGCAGCTGCCTTGCTTCTCCATGCTGGCCCCAGCCTCCTTAAAATCATCCTCAGGTCTCTCTGTTCCCAGGGCTTCAGCTGGCATCCCTGACACTGCAGCGTCCATCTCTCTGCGCCTGGGCCAGGCAGGTGCCCTGGATCTCTGGTTGCTCCGAGAAGTCACCCTGCTGCCCGGAGCTCAGAGCTGCTGCCTGGGATGCCCCAGGACGTGGCCGACCGCAGGGACCCACCCTGCTGCCCGGAGCTCAGAGCTGCTGCCTGGGACGCCCCAGGACATGGCCGACCACGGGTATCCGGCTCCCGAGGAGCCCTGTGTGCCGCCATGCTGGGGAGAGCTGGGAGGGGGCTGAGAGCATGGCCCACCCTCCGTGGTCATGGGCCCCTGAGCCCTGCCTCTCTGTCCATCTTGCTCCTCATGGCCGGGAGCCTCCCAGGTCCCCTCATCTGGGCAGAAGCCGGCCCCAGTATGGGCCCGGATATGGACCCCTGGACACATGGTGGGACACCACTTCTCCATCAGCCTGGGGAAGTTTTGGCTCCTGGAGGGGGGCCCAGAGTCATGAGCATCCAGCCTTGACATGACGCCTCCGCTAAGGCCATACTCCAGGTGGCCTCCTGGCACAGGAGCATGGGGGGTGGGGCAGGGGCCACCCAGGCCAGCCCTGGCCTCTTCCCGCTTACGTCCAGGAGTGGGGAGCAAGGGCAGGCTGGCAGCTGCCAAGGTGTTGGGGGCCACGCCCAGCTCTGTGGCTCTTTCCGGAATGGTGACTTGCATAACCAGGGCCAGGGGCTGTGGCGACCGGGGTGGGGGGTGCGGCAGGGAGGCGACTGCTTTCTCCCAGGGACCTGCTATCCGGTTACCTCCGGCCACTCTGTCGTGTTCCAGGCAGGGAGGGCCGGGCGGGAAGCCGTGGGGCCAAGCTAACCCCAGGAGGTGGAGAATTAGTCAGCAGTGCCCACCCCACCCTGAGAGGAATTGGCAGCTTTCTAGGATACCTGATCCACCCTGGGCACAGTGGTGCTGGTTAGGGTGCCCTGCAGCTGTGAGGTCAGGGGGTCAGCTGAGCGCTGGATCCGATGGTTCTTGGAGCGGGAGCTCCCAGGCTGTGCTTCCTGCCTGGCCGCCAAGGGGATACGGGTCGAGGCTGGGGAGCCCCCTCTACCCCACCTGCTCACCCCAGGAGTCAGGCTTGGAGGCAGCCCCACTGCCCAGCTGTCTGGGAGCACACACTGGGCCAGGGCAGGTGGGTAGCTGGGGAACTGGACCTGGGGGGTCCTGGGCACCCCAGCACCGAGACCTTTCAGAGTAACCCCCAGATGTGAGCCGAGGCTGGAGCCACGGAGGCCTCACTGCCTGCCAATGGGTCAAAAATCCTGGTGCAGGGACTGGGCCGGCCTTGCCCTCCGACCTCCCAGTACCTGCAGACGTGGCCCACGGGCAGGAGGGACTCTGGGACCGACCCGGCCTCTTCACAGGGCCAGGCACAAAGTGGTGGGAGGGGCCGCGGCCCTCTGGCCCAGCCCAAGCCCTTCAGGCCGCCATGTGCCTGTGAGCCATGAGGGGTGTCCTCAGCCTCCCAGGGCCATGGGCCAGCCTTGAGGGATGTGGGCCGAGTCCCGGGACGCCCCTGGCTCTGCGGTGCCTGGAGCCTGGGCCTGAGCGGGCAGGTGCTGGGGCCGACTGTGCTGCCACCTCGTGGCGACTGCGGGGAGCGCGACTGCACGCCTGAGAATGGAAGGTCGGTCGGTTCCCCAGACCCCACCCCGCCGCCGGGCCTGGAGCCTGAAACCGAGGCAGGGACAGGTTGGAGCAATGGGCGCGGCCGAAGTCCAAGAGGGCTGGGAAAAGCGCCTACCCAGACACGGACGCGAGGCCGGGCCCCTACGTCCACCTTGCTGATGGTGAACCCCCTGCCAGCCCCTCAGCCACTCCACACCACGCCCAGGGTGCACAAGTCCCTGAGGCCCTCTCTCGCCCAGAGGGACACTGAGGCCACCTGAAGCCATGGGAGGCCCAGGGAGGACCCTGAGCCCAGAAAGTCACCGCCTCCACTCTGGGCGCAGCTTCCCACCTACCTGTCCCACCATCAGGCGTGGAGGGCTCCAGACGTTCCTGGGCCTTCCTGTGTGCGCCACAGGCCTAGCCAGGGCTGACCACAGCCCTCCCTTTCTTTCCGCCGCCCTGTGCTGGCCCTGTCTAGGCAGTGGGCTCCCCAGCCCCGCTAGGCTCAGCCTGGGCTCTTCCAGACCCCTCTGCCCACTCCTGGGATGTGGAGCCAGTGCTGCCCGCTCTCCTGGCGCGGCTGTGTGGCCGAGGCAGGGCCCAGTCAGTGTCCTGGGGGATCTGCGGGCTCCCTGGAGCCCTCCAAGGAGAGAATGCTGGGCATCAGGAACATGGAGGCTCCGGGGAGGGGTGGCGGTGGTCAGAAAGAACTAAGAGAGAGACAAGCTTCCAGGGCCCAGCCCACCCTCTGCAGAGCGTCCGGCACCCTCTGTGGGGTTGCTGACCTCCCGCTTGCCTGCAGATACACTCAGGAGTGTGCACACCCCAAGCTCAGCCCCAGTGATGGCACGTCTAGGAACTGCGCAGAGATGGAACCCCCCATCCCAGAATGCCTCCATCAGCAGGGGCAGCCTTCCCGTGTCAGAGGCCCTCGCCTGGGCCATGAGGTGCCCTGGATGCCCGGGCTGGCCCCATTCCCTGCTGACTCCCTCCCTTATGCATTCATTCATCACTCATTCACTCACTCACTCATTCATTCGCTCACTGATTCACTCATTAACTCACTCATTCACTCATTAACTCACTAATTCCCTTATTCACTCACTAATTCACTCACTCCCTTTCACTCATTCACTCACTCATTCACTCCATTCATTCACTTATTCATTCACTCACTCATTCACTCATTCATTCACTCACTCATTCACTCACTCATTCACTCATTCATTCACTCATTCACTCATTCATTCACTAATTCCCTTATTCACTCACTAATTCACTCACTCCCTCATTCACTCACTAATTCACTCACTCCCTCATTCACTCACTCATTCACTCACTCATTCACTCCTTCATTCACTCATTCACACACTCATTCATTCACTCACTCACTTATTCACTCATTCATTCACTCATTAACTCATTCACTCATTCATTCACTAATTCTCTTATTCACTCACTAATTCACTCACTCCCTCATTTGCTCACTCATTCATTCACTCATTCACTCACTCATTCACTCACTCACTTATTCACTCATTCATTCACTCATTCACTCCCTCATTCACCCCTCATTCATTCACTCATTCACTCACTCACTCATTCACTCACTCATTCTCTCATTCACTCATTCATTCGCTCATTCATTTACTCATTCACTCACTCATGCACTCACTTATTTACTCATTCACTCATTTGCTCACTCATTCACTCATTCACTCACTCATTCACTCATCATTCACTCATTTGCTCACTCATTTGCTCGCTCACTCATTCACTCATTCATTCACTCATTTGCTCACTCACTCATTCAGTCACTCATTCACTCATTCACTCACTCCTTCACTCATTCATTCATTCACTCAGTCATTCACTCATTTGCTCACTCATCCACTCATTCACTTATTCATTCGCTCATTCACTCATTTGCTTACTCATTTGCTCATTCACTCATTCACTCATTTACTTACTCACTTATTCACTTACTCATTCACTCACTCATTTTCTCACTCATTCATTCAGTCTCTCACTCATTCACTCACATATTCATTCACTCACATTCACTCACATTCACTCATTCACTTACTCATTCACTCACTCATTCACTCACTCATTCACTTACTCATTCACTCATTTGCTCACTCATTCACTCACTCATTTGCTCACTCGTTCACTCATTCATTCATTCACTTATTCACTCAGTCTCTCATTCATTCACATATTCGTTCACTCACATTCACTCACATTCACTCACTCATCCACTTATTCATTCACTCACTCATTTGCTCACTCATTCACTTACTCATTTGCTCACGCATTCACTCACTCATTCACTCATTCACTTTCTCATTCACTAACTCATTCATTCACTCATTCACTCAGTCACTCATTCAGTCACATATTCATTCACATTCACTCACTCACATTCACTCACATGCACTCACTCATTCACTCACACATGCACTCACTCATTCACTCACACATTCACTCACTTATTCACTCACTCATTTATTCACTCATTCATTCTCTCATTCTCATTCACTCACTCTCTGTGTTCTGACAGATGCATCCTGGACTCTAGACTGCAGCCAAGCCCTCAATGACCTCTGCAGAGTGGTGGTCTCTTCTTGGGGCAGATCCAAGCTCTGGCCTCTCCTCTCTGAGCAGATGGACACTGTCCCACCCAGCCCACAGAGGCAGCAGGGCTGCCCAGTGCTGGGTGGTTGGCCTGAGGTGTGCACCCCCTGGAGCCCAGGTCTATCCCCACCTGTTCCTGGGTTTTATGAACAAGCTCAAAAAATGTACAGTCCACAAATTGCAAAATGCTCAAGTGTATTTATGCAACAGATTGGCCATGTCCTGAGGAGGGGAGTGCAGGCTGAGGGCTGAGGTAGGAGTGAGGCTTTTCCTCCTGCAGCCACTGGGCAGCCTATCACCACATCCAAGCATCATTGCTGAGACCCTCAGGTGATACTCAAGTCCCGAGAACAGCAGACTGGACACATGGCCAGAGGAGCCCCACCGGCCCTGGGCTGGTCCTGAGAGGTGGCTGCAGGCGGGGCGGGTAAGGGCCCCTCCTCCAGGCAGTGGGTGACCCACAGCCCACACCCTCCACAAGAAAGCGGGCGTGGACAGTGTGTTCAAAGCTGTTGCCGCCTGGATGAGGGCACAAGTTCCACTGGCCTTGGAAGCCGAACTCGGAGGACATATGGGAGGTTCTCCTTGGGGGTCAGGAGGGCGGCGGTGCTGGTCAGTGGACGGGGGACACCCGGGTGCCTCTCTCCCAGCTCCCACTCCCCGCCTCCTGGCTCTGGTCGGGTCCCATCTCCTCCGAGTGCTGGGTGTCGCCCGGCGCGGGGCACCGCCGGCCCATGCAGCCGCACTGTTCCACCTCGGTGAAGCTGAAGGTCCGGCTGGAGCCGTCGGCGCAGTGCAGGGTCACATTCCTCAGCGAGGTCCGCAGCTCCTGGCAGCACTGGCACCTGTGCTCCACCATGTTGCCCTCGAACGAGTACCTGTGGGCAGGGACTGCTCAGCACCTCCTGCTGAAGCTGGCACCGTGCGGAGCTCTGGGCGGTCCCACCAGCTGCTGTGCCAGGACCATCCCAGCCTCGTGCTGCAAGCTGGCACCGTGCGGAGCTCCGGGCGGCCCCATCGTGTTCCCTACTCCTGGAGGTGTGCTGCCAGTGTCTGACAACCAGCTCTCATTTGCCAGTTCCCCAGGCGCCAACAGTCCACCAGGGCCGACTCCAGCTCCGTGCTGATGGGAGGGAGGGAGACTCGGGGCAGCTGCAGCAAGTTACCGACGGAGCTCAGTAAACAGAGGCGCGTGATGCCGACACAGGCTCTGGGACTGTGGTCGCCCCAGCCCCACCCTCGCCATCTCAGGACCCTTTTCCCACCTCACCCTCAGAGCCCTTTCCCTGGCCCCTCATGGTCCTGCCCCTCATCTCTCTGGTACCCAGAGCCCCGGGGGCCTCGACTGCACCCCACAGTCAATTGCGTCTCCCTGCCCACTGCCCAGGCACGTACATGGAAGAGCTGTCCCCACAGTTCCCCCGGCAGTAAGCCAGGCGCACGGGCTCCGAGGAGTTGCAGCCCTGCTGCTGGATGATCTGGCTCCTATGGTACACAGCACAGGTCGACTCTGGGGAGGAACACAGGGTTTAGGACCAGCCCAGCTGCTCCTGGACTTCTGAGGGTGGAGCCCACCCTGCCCAGCAGGCTCGGCACTTACGGTTCTGGTACTGGGGTGGGAGCGGGGGCGGCGGGCAGAAGCGACAGCAGCCGTCCTTGCTCATGCGGGCCTCGTCCTGTGCCAACAGAAGGGTGCCCTCAGTGTCGAGGCGCTCGGCGGCCCCCGCAGAAGTGGGGGACAGGGACATGGGGCCAGGCTCGGGAGTGGACAGCCCCAAGCAGGAGAGAGTGTCTGCTGGCGCTGCAGCGATGATCACAGCCCCCCAAACCCATCTGGGGCTGAAGCCGCCTTGGCTGGGGCAGGGGTCCTGGACCTCACCAGAGAACAGCTGAGCGGGGGGCACGCCTTCTTCGTGGTGACCACCACGAGCCCGTCCAAGTGCTTCTCACACTCATAGGTGACACAGTGGTTCCCGGGGTCTGACCAGGTCTCGCCGGGCTGGAGGGAGGCCAGGCCCTGGGGTGAGTGACCCTCCCTCCATCTGTCTGTCTATCTGCACCCCAGCCTGTGGGTTTCCAGAGGGTCCCCAGCCTCTGCCAGACACATGCCTGGCTCCGGGGGGTAACGACAGGTCTCCAAATGCCTCAGTACTCCCAGACCCTGCCCTTCTTCTTTGTGGCAGCCGCTACTCACGTAGAAGAGGTGGGCGGAGCTCCCGCTGGTGTTGGTGACACAGGCGACCTGCACACAAGTGCCACAGCACTGCCCGCTCTGCTCCTGGTACTCAAAGCCCTGTGGGAGGGATGGGCATGTGGCCGGAGTCCAGAGGACCACTGGCCTCCAGGGGCCGGGAGGGGGTAGGGGCAGGGCAGGGGCACTCACCACAGGGCAGTGTGAGTTGCAGATCTGGGTCTCACAACTGACCACAAACGTGTCCGACAGGGGGCCGCCAGGCAGCTCACACCTGCAGGTTTCGCACAGGCTGGAGGAGACCACGGCGCCGGGCTGGGAAGAGCCAGGGCAGCAGACACTCTGCTGAGGGCCCATGAGCTTGGGCCCTGAGGAGACCCGCCCCCTGCCTCCTCACTGGTTTGCTGCCCCCACCTTCCCAGACATCCGCCTCCAGGCCGCTTCCTATCAGGCTGACTTGCACCCCTGGGGTGACTCTTGGTGGCACCTCCTGGTACAGAGGCCACAGCCCAGGGTCCCCATCCCTAGGGCAGAGCCCCACGTTGCACCCCCATGGATGGGGGCCACATGCTCAGCCGGCTCAGGACAGAGCCATGGGATCCAAGGCTGGCTGTGCTGTGGTGCCAGGAGAGGCAAAGCCCCCCGGAGCCCCCGGAGCCCCCCGGAGCCCCTGGAGCCAGGCAGCCCAGGGTGTAGACGTCCACACTTCCGGGGCCTGGGACCGACCTCAGGCCTCAGCCACACTTAATAGTGGACTGTGTCCGCAGAGACTAAAGTCCCTGGCCCCAGCGGGGGTTGGCAGGTGCTCCGAAGTCTACCTGGGCCCTAGGGTCAGCAGGAAGCTCCGTCCCTGTGGCTGCGGGGTCTGGGCTCTGCGGCTCTTACCTGGTACAAGGTCCCGTTGATGCTGCACTCTGTCCAGTCTGCCCAGGAGAAGACAAGCAGCTGCACCCCCTGCCACCCGTCCTCCCCTCACCCTCGGCATGCCCGCCCCTGCAGCCTCCTGGGCGCCTCATTCCCAGGCTCGCCACTGGGGTTTGTCCAGCCTTGTCCCTGTGGAAGGCTCAGTCCGGAGCCACAGACTGGCAGTGGACAAGCCGCAGCGGCATCTGGTTATCTGGTTATGGCCCCCCAAAATCCCGGGTGGAGACCCCAGCCCACGGCCCACGACAAGGTCTGGTCCAGGATACTCACTGCACTTTTGGACCGGGCAGCAGTCCCCCTCCTCGTAGGTCGGGATCGCACGGGCACCCTCGGGACAGTCCACGGGTGCAGGGCAGTGGCTGGTGTTGCAGGCTGCGGGGGCGGAGGGAGGCATTTGGGAGTCTGTCCCCTGCCCCCGCCCAAAGGCCCACCCCCGGGGTCTCCAGGATTGCGGACTGCCCAGACAGCCCGCTGGGGGGTCTCCAGATGAGGCTGTTGCAGGAGCGGAGAAGGGGGCACCCTCATAGGCACTGCCCCCAGGTGCGTGCCCCAAGGCAGCAGCAAAGGCCGGGCCGAGTGGGCTCCGGGTCACCTGCCTGCCACGCCGTGCCCCCCACCCAGCGAAGGGCTTACCGCAGTTGTACTGGGGGCAGCACTGGCCGGCCTGTGGGGCTGCAGGCACAGGCACGAAGCCGGGCAGGGGGCAGGCAGGGGGCAGCGGGCAGAGCTTGGGTTGGCAGCTCAGCGTCCACGTGGCCGCCTCACACGTGCACTCCTGGCAGTCCCTGCCGACGGTGTGGCCCACCTGTGAGGAAGAGGCCTGAGGTCCAGCATCCACAGTGGCTCCACCCAGGGGCGCAGCAGCCAGGCCGGCTCATGCAGTGTGGAGGCCGTGCGGCCTGCAGCTGAGGACCCCGCAGGAGTAGAGCTTCTAAAGTGCAGGGTGGGCCAAGCATGGGCAGGAAGCTCTGCAAGGTGGGCAGGCTGTGGGGTGATTGGCCTGTGCCCCCCACCTCACACTGCCTCAGTCTCGGCCGGGCAGAAGGGGGTCCCAAGGAAGGGAAGAGTATGGCCAGCCTTGGGGCCGGCACCCACACAGCAACACCAGGACAGAGGCCCCGGCACGGTCCCCAGTGCGGACAGAGTGGGTACCTGGGAAGGGAGATCCCCAAGTCTTTCGGGGAGCCTGGTCCTCCCACGGCCCTTTCCCTGGGCCTCTGGCACAGAGAGGACACCCCGTCCCCTGAGCCCCCTCTGACCATTTCTGGGGCTAGTGTTTCCAGAGCCTCCCTCCTCAGGCTCTTGGACGCCAGTGCCCTCTCGGGCCACACCTCCCGCTCACCTTCACCGGCTCTCCGTGGGGCCCCAGACACCCTGGAAGGAGAGAGATCTGAGGTCACGGGGGGTCAGCCGCCACGACAGGGGCCAGGGGCAGGGTCCCGCGTTGGGGCCGGGCGGACCCCAGGACCTGGCCGACAGTCACAGGCCCAGTCCTGCCACCCCACCAGCCCCAGCCTGGGGCACGTACTGGGGCAGCCCGTGGGCACGCAGACTTGGGCGCTGGTGCTGAAGAGGGTCATGCCCTCCGGACAGAAGCAGCCTTCGGTGATGGGGCCGGCCTCCGGCAGGGCCCTGTGGAGAGCATAGGGTTGGTGGATGTCGTTTTTCCCTCCAGGTGGGAAGGGCCCCAGCCTGGGAGTGGGAGATGCAGCAGGAGGCTGGGGTCCGGGTGGCTGCAGTGGCCCACGGCAGGGCCAGGAGGGACGGCGCCTACCCGAGGCTGGCGCTGTCGTTGCCGTAGCAGTAGGAGGGGTTGCTCGGGCCGCACGGCTGGTACACCTTGTCGGCTGGGCAGGTGAATTCTGTGGGGAGGGGAAGCCACACCTGAGAGGGAGGGAGGAAGGGAGGGAGGGAGGGAGGGAGGGAGGGAGGGCACCCACCCCGAACAACGCGGGCCGCTGGGCACCAACATCTTCTCCAGAGCTGCCCGCAGCCACCCGTGGGTCTGGGCCTGGCCACGGCCTGCCACACCCTAGGGCCCCACCACGGGCTCCCCGATGTGGACGCCCTCCTTTCTCTCCAGGGAACCGGGAGCACTCTGTCCTGGGGCTGACCCCTCCTCCTCCAGGTCCCACCCTGACTGCCCGAGCCCACCCTGAGGGTCTGCCTGGCGTACCTGTGCCCCTCACAAGCGACTTGGGACCCTGAGGACAGTGGGGGCACTCACGGCACATGTGGTTGGTCCGGCCTCTCCAGTCGATGCAGATGTCTTGGGATGCGCAGAGCGCCGCGTACAGCTCCAGGCTGGAGCACACCGTGTCCAGGTCGGTCTTGTGGCACTGGTCGAAAGTGCAGCCCTCATAGAATGGCAGTGGGGGGATCACGGCGTGGCACGGCTCAAAGACCCTGTAGGAGGGATGCGTGGAGTGCTGGGTGCAGCCTCTCCGGCCACCTGCTGTTCCATGTCAGGCTCCCAGGCTTCAGGGCAGTCCCCAGGCGAGGTGAGTCCCTGAGCAGCCGCTGGTGTGCGGCCGCCCTCCTGTCTGTGCCCGGAAAGCCTCCTTCCACATATTCTGTGGGCTTGGGGGCCGGGGTTGGGGTTCCGGATGGCATCATACACTTATTTCTGCAAGTTCTTCTTCCTGGGCCCCCCACTGCCGCCCTGCAAACCTGGGAGCTGCCTGGGGGTGGTGACCGATGCCCCCGTCCATACGCCTAAGCCAGCAGGGAGCCTCAGAGACCGCTTGGCCCAGCCAGCCCTTGGCAGCATTCCAGCCATGACCACCCCTCCCCGGCACCCACCCCTCCCAGTACCTGCCCCCCCTCCCCAGCACCCACCCCTCCCCAGCACCCACTCCTCCCCAGCACCCACCCCTCCCCGGCACCCACCCCTCCCCGGCACCCACTCCTCCCCGGCACCCACCCCTCCCCGGCACCCACTCCTCCCCGGCACCCGCCCCTCCCCGGCACCCGCCCCCCCCCCGCACCCACCCTCCCCAGCACCCGCCCCTCCCCAGCACCCACCCCTCCCCAGCACCCACTCCTCCCCGGCACCCGCCCCTCCCCAGCACCTGCCCCTCCTTGGCCTGTGGCACCAGCAGCTCTTGTTTCCTCTCAGGAGGCCCCTGAAAACGTACCTCTTCCCCGCCAGCCCTTGGAAGGGTGGGGTTGGGGCGGCCACGCTGACCCTCCCTCCCTTGCACCCAAGTCTCACTTGCTCAGAATCAGCCGGCAGATGGACGATGGCGGGCACGGAGCAGGCGGGGTGGTAGGCCCGAACGTGGTGGACCCAACTGTCGTGGGCCCGACCGTGGTGGGCAGCGGGCGAGGCCCGTGGCAGGCTGGCTGGTTGGGGATGCTGACGTTCCAGAGGCCAGACATCTCAGAGCAGGAAGCGACCACCGTGCCCCCAGGCGTGCGGCACTCATCCTTCAGGTCGTTGGTGCAAGTGCCTGGACAGATGCGGTGGGGGTCAGGCTGCTGGACAGCAGAGCCAGGCGGCCCCAGTCCACATGGGGCTCAGCACCCCCAGCTGGGGGACAGGACCCTGGCATCTCAGGGTCACACCTTGGTGGACCGCAGTGGACCCTGCCTGTGCCTCACTGTCCCCCAAGAACAACCCTGGGGCAGTCCCCATGGCACCGGGGAGCTGCAGGTACGGGCAGGTGTAGGCCTCATGCGTGTGGCCTGCACTCGGCAGAGCAGCCAGAAAGCAGAGACACCAGCACGCGCAGCACGTGGCGGCCTCGCCCCCTGCCCAGTACCCCCTGCCCCCGTGAATGCCAGACGATGCCTGGGAGCCCTGTGGCCTCACCGCACTGGCCCTCGGTGTTGTTGGCAAACTTGCTGAAGGGCACCTCCACCGAGAAGATGAGGCCGGAGAACATGACCTGGACGCCCAGTGCCGGGATGGTCGCGTACATCTTGATGCCGATGCGCGAGACCACGATGCCGTTTTTCCGGAAGCCGGGGCTGACTACCTTGTTGTTGAAGATGATCTGGATGCGGGGCGCAGTCGACGGGAAGATAGAAGGTGGGCGGGCGGGTGGGCGGTCAGCCACTGCTCAGGCTCTAGCCAGGAAAGCCACGTCCCCCACCCTCTACCCAGCACACCGGGCGCACCCCCACCTCATTGGTCATCGCCCCGTGGACTGACTTGCGGGTCAGCACCACGCGGTCCTGCTGGTACTCCAGGATGATGGACTTCGGGCAGGAAAGCCCATCCTCCGCGCCACAGAAGTCGTTGTCCACCAGCACGCGGAAGTGGCCGTACACGGGCACGATCTGCTGCACCAGCACGTACGTGCAGTTGTCCAGGAAGGTGTAGTAGGTGCCGTCAAAGGTGATGTAGTGGGGATCACCCCAGCCGCTGCACACACCTGCCAGGCCCCAGGGGCAGCCTTATGGGATGGTGGCACCATGGCCCCGGGGTTTTCTCACAACAGGTCACATCTGTCCCTGACCCCCCACCGTCTCCCCTCACAGGGCGCACGAGACCCTCCACATCATCAGAACACACGTGACCAGCGACTGCACAGAACTCCATCCAGCGGACACTTGACAAGGCTGGAGCAAGGCAGGGACAGACCCCTCCACCTTCTCCAGCCAGGCTGCTCCGAGGCTCACAGGGATTCACTCCGCACCCCTAAGTGGGGAGGCTCAGCCCCGTGCATCCCCACCTCGATGATGGGAAATCCTTCCTGCTGTCCCACCTGATTCCTTTCTGCTTCAGCCAAGCCCCCTCCTCTGCCCCACCCCTTTCCACCTGGGTGGGGAGTGGCTGCCCCGGCTGCCCCGGCTCCCGCCCGGTGCTCCACTCACACTGGCACTGGTAGTGATAGCAGCAGCCGTCCTGGTCGGCCACCTTCAGGGCCGGGTAGCCATTGGCACAGGTGGGTTTCTCCACCCTCGGGCACGTTCGCGGGCGCAGGGAGATGATGTTGTTGCCCTCACAGGTGGCCTCGGAGCAGTTGGGCGTGGCCCAGGTCTCACCTTTCTGCAGAAGCACAGAGAGCTGCAGGTCCGGCCTCTCCCGCTCTCCAGGGCACCCCTTGGTTCTTGAGGTCACAGTCCCGAGAGTCCCATGTGGGGACAGGGGAGGGTGGCTGTGCCCCAGTCTCCTTCCTGCCCCTTCCTCAGCACCCACCCCAGACACCGAGCTGGCCCGGGGCAGGGGTCTCTGGTGTGAGAGTTGCTCCTCCCTGGCTCTGCCACACTTCCTGGCTGTGCAGCCGCGGCCACAGCCTCATCCCGCTGCTCTGGCCCTGGCTGGCCTCAGCACAGCCTCAGCCTTGGGCCCCACACACCCAGTGCCTAGAAATCACGTGTCTGGGAAGTCCAGGGGGATCAGAGACCCTGGGCTATAGCACAGCCCTCTCCTGATGGCCAGGCTGCCTCCACTAGGGCCAGTGACCTTCTCAAGATCTTGCAGCTGAAGCCTAATTGCAAAGACATTCAAGTTTCCTGCAGTGGCCCCTGAGCCTTCAGAAGGGTGAGAAGCAGGGGGTTACCTTTCTGGGGGGAACTGCATTTGGGCATCCCAGCTCAGTGACGGGCTCAGAGGTGGATGTCCAAGGGGACGTGGCTGGGGCAGGAGGCAGCGTGGTGGATGGACAGTCACTGCCAACTCCTCTGACCACTTGGCAGTCCTGGCTGCACAGGGCATAATAGCAGTGGCCGGCAAGGTCTCTGTGGCGGTATATGGTGGATCCTACAGGAGGAAGGGACACGATAGCCTTTAGTGGAGCCCTGCTCAAAGAAGAGGCACAAACCCCTCTGTGGGCCAGAGGGGCACTATCTACCACCTGTGTAATGGGAACAAACTTCAGAGAATGCCAGCAGCCACTCTGTGACAATGAGCCTGTGCCACAAAGAGCAGAGACTCCTCTCATCTCCATCACAGCTTGGCATTCCTGGATGAAAAACTGACCAGGGTGAGCTCAGAAACAATTGCACCAGAAACACTCACGAACCCATGGGGTAGAGCCGGCCAGTTACGTTGCAGAAGCAGGTTGGGGTGGAGTAAGCCACAGAGCTGGAGGCCACAGAGCTGGATGCCACGGAGCTGGATGCCACAGAGGTGGATGCCACGGAGGTAGACAGGGAAGGATACAGGGTATTGGTAGAAGTCCCATATGGGGTCACAGCAGTCACTGGGCAGCCTTTGGGGATCTCGCAGCAGAGCACGCGCACCTCGTAGTTGAGGCACATCTTGAAGGGTCCCTGCTGGTCCTGGTTCCGGCACACCAGGCCCTCTTCGCGGCTGCACTGCACCACCTGGCCCAGGTGTTCGATGCTCACCTCCGGGTGGCTCGCGGCTCGGCACTGGAGCCTGGTGATCTCCTCAGGTTGGCGGCAGATTTTTTCCCCACTCCTGATGATGTTGTTGTAGGTTTCCTCATCTCCGCCGTGGGGTCCAGGGGACGGGAAGTCCACGTCGAACCACTTGGTCCAGGTGCACTGGGGATGACAGTCACTGGTAACTGGTTGAGGGTGGGTTGTCTTGGATACAGAAATATGGCTTGTGCTGGTCTTTGAAACAGAGGTTGTGCTGGTGGTGGGAACAGGGCTGGGAATAGTTCCAGGACTGGAGGGTGTGCTGGTTGTAGGAGCAGAGGTTGTGCTGGTTGTAAGAGCAGAGGTTGTGCTGATTATAGGAGCCGAGGTTGTGCTGCTCTGTGCAGTGGAGGTGGTGCTGCTTGTAGGGGCAGAGGTTGTGCTGGTTGTAGGAGCAGAGGTTGTGCTGGTTGTAGGAGCCGAGGTTGTGCTGCTTGTAGGGGCAGAAGTAGTGCTGCTTGTAGGGGCAGAGGTTGTGCTGGTTGTAGGAGCGGAGGTTGTGCTGCTTGTAGGAGCCGAGGTTGTGCTGCTTGTAGGGGCAGAAGTAGTGCTGGTTATAGGAGCTGAGGATGTGGTGGTTGTAGGAGCCGAGGTAGTGGTGGTTGTAGGAACAGAGGTTGTGCTGGTTGTAGGGGTAAAGGTTCTGCTGGTTGTAGGAGCAGAGGTTGTGCTGATTGTAGGGGCAGAGGTTGTGCTGCTTGCAGTGGCAGAGGATGTGCTGCTCTGTGGAGTGGAGGTTGTGCTGGTTGTAGGGGAAGAAGTTGTGCTGGTTGTAGGAGCTGAGGATGTGCTCATTGTAGGAGCTGAGGTTGTGCTGGTTGTAGGAGCAGAGATAGTGCTGGTGGTAGGAACAGGGCTGGGAGTAGTTCCAGGACCAGAGGTTGTGCTGGTTGTAGAAGCAGAGGTAGTACTGGTAGTAGGAACAGGGCTGGGAGTAGTTTCAGGACCAGAGGTTGTGCTGGTTGTAGCAGCAGAGGTTTTGCTGCTTGTAGGGGCAGAGGTTGTGCTGGTTGTAGGGGCAGAGGTTGTGCTAATGGTGAAAACAGAGCTTTGGGTACTTCCAGGACCAGAAGTTGTGCTGGTTGTAGGAACAGAGGTTATGCTGGTCTGTGGAGTGGAGGTTGTGCTGCTTGTAAGGGCAGAGGTTGGGCTAGTTGTAATAGCAGAGGTTGTGCTGGTTGTAGGAGCAGAGGTCGTGCTGGTGGTGGGAACAGGGCTGGGAGTCGTTCCAGGACCAGAGGTTGTGCTGGTTGTAGTGGCAGAGGTTGTGCTGGTTGTAGGAGCAGAGTTTGTGCTGGTGGTGGGAACAGGGCTGGGAGTCGTTCCAGGACCAGAGGTTGTGCTGCTGGTAGAAGCAGAAGTTGTGCTGGTGGTAGGAAGAGGGCTGGGAGTAGTTTCAGGACCAGAGGATGTGCTGGTAGTAGAAGCAGAGGTTGTGCTGGTGGTAGGCACAGGGCTGGGAGTAGTTCCAGGACCAAAGGTTCTGCTGGTTGTAGAAGCAGAGGTTTTGCTGGTTGTAGGAGCAGAGGTTGTGCTGGTGGTGGGAACAGGGCTGGGAGTAGTTTCAGGAGCAGAGGTTGTGCTGGTTGCAGCAGCTGAGGTTGTGCTGCTTGTAGGGGCAGAGGTTGTTCTGGTTGTAGGGGCAGAGATTGTGCTGGTGGTGGGAACAGGGCTTTGGGTAGTTCCAGGACCAGAAGTTGTACTGGTTGTACGAGGTGAGATTGTTCTGACTCTAGGGGCAGAGATTGTGCTGGTTGCAGTAGCAGAGATTGTGCTGGTTGGAGGAGCAGAGGTTGTGCTGGTTGGAGGAGCAGAGGTTGTGCTGGTGGTAAGAACTGGGCTGGGAGTAGTTCCAGGACCAGAGGTTGTGCTGGTTGTAGAAGCAGAGGTTGTACTGGTAGTAGGAACAGGGCTGGGAGTAGTTTCAGGAGCAGAGGTTGTGCTGGTTGCAGCAGCTGAGGTTGTGCTGCTTGTAGGGGCAGAGGTTGTTCTGGTTGTAGGGGCAGAGATTGTGCTGGTGGTGGGAACAGGGCTTTGGGTAGTTCCAGGACCAGAAGTTGTACTGGTTGTATGAGGTGAGATTGTTCTGACTCTAGGGGCAGAGATTGTGCTGGTTGCAGTAGCAGAGGTTGTGCTGGTTGGAGGAGCAGAGGTTGTGCTGGTTGGAGGAGCAGAGGTTGTGCTGGTGGTAAGAACTGGGCTGGGAGTAGTTCCAGGACCAGAGGTTGTGCTGGTTGTAGAAGCAGAGGTTGTACTGGTAGTAGGAACAGGGCTGGGAGTAGTTTCAGGACCAGAGGTTGTGCTGGTTGTAGCAGCAGAGGTTTTGCTGCTTGTAGGGGCAGAGGTTGTGCTGGTTGTAGGGGCAGAGGTTGTGCTAATGGTGAAAACAGAGCTTTGGGTACTTCCAGGACCAGAAGTTGTGCTGGTTGTAGGAACAGAGGTTATGCTGGTATGTGGAGTGGAGGTTGTGCTGCTTGTAAGGGCAGAGGTTGGGCTAGTTGTAATAGCAGAGGTTGTGCTGGTTGTAGGAGCAGAGGTCATGCTGGTGGTGGGAACAGGGCTGGGAGTCGTTCCAGGACCAGAGGTTGTGCTGTTTGTAGTGGCAGAGGTTGTGCTGGTTGTAGGAGCAGAGTTTGTGCTGGTGGTGGGAACAGGGCTGGGAGTCGTTCCAGGACCAGAGGTTGTGCTGCTGGTAGAAGCAGAAGTTGTGCTGGTGGTAGGAAGAGGGCTGGGAGTAGTTTCAGGACCAGAGGATGTGCTGGTAGTAGAAGCAGAGGTTGTGCTGCTGGTAGGCACAGGGCTGGGAGTAGTTCCAGGACCAAAGGTTCTGCTGGTTATAGAAGCAGACGTTTTGCTGGTTGTAGGAGCAGAGGTTGTGCTGGTGGCGGGAACAGGGCTGGGAGTAGTTTCAGGAGTAGAGGTTGTGCTGGTTGCAGCAGCTGAGGTTGTGCTGCTTGTAGGGGCAGAGGTTGTTCTGGTTGTAGGAGCAGAGATTGTGCTGGTGGTGGGAACAGGGCTTTGGGTAGTTCCAGGACCAGAAGTTGTACTGGTTGTACGAGGTGAGATTGTTCTGACTCTAGGGGCAGAGATTGTGCTGGTTGCAGTAGCAGAGGTTGTGCTGGTTGGAGGAGCAGAGGTTGTGCTGGTTGGAGGAGCAGAGGTTGTGCTGGTGGTAAGAACTGGGCTGGGAGTAGTTCCAGGACCAGAGGTTGTGCTGGTTGTAGAAGCAGAGGTTGTACTGGTAGTAGGAACAGGGCTGGGAGTAGTTTCAGGAGCAGAGGTTGTGCTGGTTGCAGCAGCTGAGGTTGTGCTGCTTGTAGGGGCAGAAGTTGTTCTGGTTGTAGGGGCAGAGATTGTGCTGGTGGTGGGAACAGGGCTTTGGGTAGTTCCAGGACCAGAAGTTGTACTGGTTGTACGAGGTGAGATTGTTCTGACTCTAGGGGCAGAGATTGTGCTGGTTGCAGTAGCAGAGGTTGTGCTGGTTGGAGGAGCAGAGGTTGTGCTGGTTGGAGGAGCAGAGGTTGTGCTGGTGGTAAGAACTGGGCTGGGAGTAGTTCCAGGACCAGAGGTTGTGCTGGTTGTAGAAGCAGAGGTTGTACTGGTAGTAGGAACAGGGCTGGGAGTAGTTTCAGGACCAGAGGTTGTGCTGGTTGTAGCAGCAGAGGTTTTGCTGCTTGTAGGGGCAGAGGTTGTGCTGGTTGTAGGGGCAGAAGTTGTGCTAATGGTAAAAACAGAGCTTTGGGTACTTCCAGGACCAGAACTTGTGCTGGTTGTAGGAACAGAGATTATGCTGGTCTGTGGAGTGGAGGTTGTGCTGCTTGTAGGGGCAGAGGTTGGGCTAGTTGTAATAGCAGAGGTTGTGCTGGTTGTAGGAACAGAGGTCGTGCTGGTGGTGGGAACAGGGCTGGGAGTCGTTCCAGGACCAGAGGTTGTGCTGGTTGTAGTGGCAGAGGTTGTGCTGGTTGTAGGAGCAGAGTTTGTGCTGGTGGTGGGAACAGGGCTGGGAGTCGTTCCAGGACCAGAGGTTGTGCTGCTGGTAGAAGCAGAAGTTGTGCTGGTGGTAGGAAGAGGGCTGGGAGTAGTTTCAGGACCAGAGGATGTGCTGGTAGTAGAAGCAGAGATTGTGCTGCTGGTAGGCACAGGGCTGGGAGTAGTTCCAGGACCAAAGGTTCTGCTGGTTGTAGAAGCAGAGGTTTTGCTGGTTGTAGGAGCAGAGGTTGTGCTGGTGGTAGGAAGAGGGTTGGGAGTAGTTTCAGGACCAGAGATTGTGCTGGTTGCAGTGGCTGAGGTTGTGCTGCTTGTAGGGGCAGAGGTTGTTCTGGTTGTAGGGGCAGAGATTGTGCTGGTGGTGGGAACAGGGCTTTGGGTAGTTCCAGGACCAGAAGTTGTACTGGTTGTACGAGGTGAGATTGTTCTGACTCTAGGGGCAGAGATTGTGCTGGTTGTAGTAGCAGAGATTGTGCTGGTTGGAGGAGCAGAGGTTGTGCTGGTTGGAGGAGCAGAGGTTGTGCTGGTGGTAGGAGCAGAGGTTGTGCTGGTGGTGGGAACAGGGTTGGGAATAGTTCCAGGACTGGAGGTTGTGCTGGTTGGAGGAGCAGAGGTTGTGCTGGTGGTAGGAACTGGGCTGGGAGTAGTTCCAGGACCAGAGGTTGTGCTGGTTGTAGAAGCAGAGGTTGTACTGGTAGTAGGAACAGGGCTGGGAGTAGTTTCAGGACCAGAGGTTGTGCTGGTTGTAGCAGCAGAGGTTTTGCTGCTTGTAGGGGCAGAGGTTGTGCTGGTTGTAGGGGCAGAGGTTGTGCTAATGGTGAAAACAGAGCTTTGGGTACTTCCAGGACCAGAACTTGTGCTGGTTGTAGGAACAGAGATTATGCTGGTCTGTGGAGTGGAGGTTGTGCTGCTTGTACGGGAAGAGGTTGGGCTAGTTGTAATAGCAGAGGTTGTGCTGGTTGTAGGAGCAGAGGTCATGCTGGTGGTGGGAACAGGGCTGGGAGTCGTTCCAGGACCAGAGGTTGTGCTGGTTTTAGTGGCAGAGGTTGTGCTGGTTGTAGGAGCAGAGTTTGTGCTGGTGGTGGGAACAGGGCTGGGAGTCGTTCCAGGACCAGAGGTTGTGCTGCTGGTAGAAGCAGAAGTTGTGCTGGTGGTAGGAAGAGGGCTGGGAGTAGTTTCAGGACCAGAGGATGTGCTGGTAGTAGAAGCAGAGGTTGTGCTGCTGGTAGGCACAGGGCTGGGAGTAGTTCCAGGACCAAAGGTTCTGCTGGTTGTAGAAGCAGAGGTTTTGCTGGTTGTAGGAGCAGAGGTTGTGCTGGTGGTAGGAACAGGGCTGGGAGTAGTTTCAGGAGCAGAAGTTGTGCTGGTTGCAGCAGCTGAGGTTGTGCTGCTTGTAGGGGCAGAGGTTGTTCTGGTTGTAGGGGCAGAGATTGTGCTGGTGGTGGGAACAGGGCTTTGGGTAGTTCCAGGACCAGAAGTTGTACTGGTTGTACGAGGTGAGATTGTTCTGACTCTAGGGGCAGAGATTGTGCTGGTTGTAGTAGCAGAGGTTGTGCTGGTTGGAGGAGCAGAGGTTTTGTTGGTGGTAGGAACAGGGCTTGGGGTAGTTCCAGGACCAGAGGTTGTGCTGGTTGTAGAAGCAGGGGTTGTGCTGGTAGTAGGAGCAGAGGTCATGCTGGTGGTGGGAACAGGGCTGGGAATAGTTCCAGGACTGGAGGTTGTGCTGGTCATAGGAGCAGAGCTGGTGCTGGTTGTAGGAGCAGAGATTGTGCTGGTGGTGGGAACAGGGCTGGGAATAGTTCCAGGACTGGAGGTTGTGCTGGTCGTAGGAGCAGAGCTGGTGCTGGTTGTAGGAGCAGAGGTTGTGCTGGTGGTAGGAACTGGGCTGGGAGTAGTTCCAGGACCAGAGGTTGTGCTGGTTGTAGAAGCAGAGGTTTTGCTGAAGGTAGGAACAGGGCTGGGAGTCGTTTCAGGACCAGAGGTTGTGCTGGTTGTAGCAGTAGATGTTGTGCTGCTTGTAGGGGCAGAGGTTGCTCTGCTTGTAGGAGCAGAGGTTGTGCTGGTGGTGGGAACAGGGCTGGGAGTACTTCTAGGAATAGAGGTTCTGCTGGTTGTAGGAGCAGAACTGGTGCTAGTTGTAGGAGGTGAGCTGGTGCTGGTTCTAGGAGCAGAGGTTGTTCTGGTGGTAGGAACTGGGCTGGAAGTATTTCCGGGACCCGAGGTTGTGCTAGTTGTAGAAGCAGAGGTTGTGCTGGTGGTAAGAACAGGGCTGGGAGTAGTTTCAGGACCAGAGGTTGTGCTGGTTGTAGCGGCAGATGTTGTGCTACTTGTAGGGGCAGAGGTTGTTCTGGTTGTAGGAGCAGAAGTTGTGCTGGTGGTGGGAACAAGGCTGGGAGTAGTTCCAGGACTAGAGGTTGTGCTGGTTGTAGGAGCAGAACTAGTGCTGGTTGTAGGAGCAGAGCTGGTGGTGCTGGTTGTAGGAGCAGAGGTTGTGCTGGAGGTAGGAACAGGGCTGGGAGTAGTTTCAGGACCCGAGGTTGTGCTGGTTATAGCGACAGAGGTTGTGCTGCTTGTAGGGGCAGAAGTTGTTCTGGTTGTAGGAGCAGAAGTTGTGCTGGTGGTGGGAACAGGGCTGGGAGTAGTTCCAGGACCGGGGGTTGTGCTGCTTGTAGGGGCAGAGGTTGCACTGGTGGTAGGAACAGGGCTGGGAGTAGTTCCAGCACCAGAGGTTGTGCTAGTTGTAGAAGCAGAGGTTGTTCTGGTTGTAGGAGCAGAGGTTGCGCTGGTGGTGGGAACAGGGCTGGGAATAGTGCCAGGACTAGAGGTTGTGCTGGTTGTAGGAGCAGAACTGGTGCTGGTTGTAGGAGCAGAGCTGGTGGTGCTGGTTGTAGGAGCAGAGCTGATGGTGCTGGTGGTAGGAACAGGGCTGGGAGTAGTTCCAGGACCAGAGGTTGTGCTGGTTGTAGAAGCAGAGGTTGTGCTGGTGGTAGGAACAGGGCTGGGAGTAGTTTCAGGACCAGAGGTTGTGCTGGTTATAGCGGCAGAGGTTGTGCTGCTTGTAGGGGTAGAGGTTGTTCTGGTTGTAGGCACAGAGGTTATGCTGGTGGTGGGAAGAGGGCTGGGAGTAGTTCCAGGACTAGAGGTTGTGCTGGTTGTAGGAGCAGAACTGGTGCTGGTTGTAGGAGCAGAGCTGGTGGTGCTGATTGTAGGAACAGAGCTGGTGGTGGTGGTGGTGGGAACAGGGCTGGGAGTAGTTCCAGGACTAGAGGTTGTGCTGGTTGTAGTAGCAGAGGTTGTGCTGGTGGTAGGAATAGGGCTGTGAGTAGTTTCAGGACCAGAGGTTGTACTGGTTGTAGAAGCGGAGGTTGTGCTTGTTGTAGGAATAGGGCTGGGAGTATTTTCAGGACCAGAGGTTGTGCTGGTTATAGTGGCAGAGGTTGTGCTGCTTGTAGGGGCAGAGGTTGTGCTGGTTGTAGGAACAGAAGTTGTGCTGGTGGTGGGAACAGGGCTGGGAGTAGTTCCAGGACTGGAGGTTGTGCTGGTTGTAGGAGCAGAGCTGGTGCTGGTTGTAGGAGCAGAGATTGTGCTAGTGGTAGGAACAGGGCTGGGAGTAGTTCCAGGAATAGAGGTTGTGCTGGTTGTAGGAGCAGAGGTGGTGCTGGTTGTAGGAGCAGAGGTTGTGCTAGTGGTAGGAACAGGGCTGGGAGGAGTTCCAGGAATAGAGGTTGTGCTGGTTGTAGGAGCAGAGCTGGTGCTGGTTGTAGGAGCAGAGGTTGTGCTGGTGGTAGGAACAGGGCTGGGAGGAGTTCCAGCACCAGAGGTTGTGCTGGTTGTAGAAGCAGAGGTTTTTCTGGTTGTAGGAGCAGAGGTTGTGCTGATGGTGGGAACAGGGCTGGGAGTACTTCCAGGACTAGAGGTTGTGCTGGTTGTAGGAGCAGAGGTTGTGCTGGTGGTAGGAACAGGGCTGGGAGTAGTCTCAGGACCAGAGGTTGTGCTGATTGTAGTGGCAGAGGTTGTGCTGCTTGTAGGGGCAGAGGTTGTTCTGGTTGTAGGAGCAGAGGTTGTGCTGATGGTGGGAACAGGGCTGGGAGTAGTTCCAGGAATAGAGGTTGTGCTGGTTGTAGGAGCAGAACTGGTGCTGGTTGGAGGAGCAGAGGTTGTGCTGGTGGTAGGAAGAGGGCTGGGAGTAGTCTCAGGACCAGAGGTTGTGCTGGTAGTAGAAGCAGAGGTTGTGCTGGTGGTAGGAACAGGGCTGGGAGTAGTCTCAGGACCAGAGGTTGTGCTGGTTATAGTGGCAGAGGTGGTGCTGCTTGTATGGGCAGAGGTTGTGCTGGTTGTAGGAGCAGAAGTTGTGCTGGTGATGGGAACAAGGCTGAGAGAACTTCCAGGACTAGAGGTTGTGCTGGTTGTAGGAGCAGAACTGGTGCTGGTTGTAGGAGCAGAGCTGGTGCTGGTTGTAGGAGCAGAGGTTGTGCTGGTGGTAGGAACTGGGCTGGGAGTAGTTCCAGGACTAGAGGTTGTGCTGGTTGTAGAAGCAGAGGTTTTGCTGGTTGTAGGAGCAGAGGTTGTGCTGGTGGTAGGAACAGGGCTGGGAGTAGTTTCAGGACCAGAGGTTGTGCTGGTTGTAGCAGCAGAGGTTGTGCTAATTGTAGAAGCAGAGGTTTTTCTGGTTGTAGGAGCAGAGTTTGTGCTGGTGGTGGGAACAGGGCTTGGAGTAGTTCCAGGACTAGAGGTTGTGGTTGTAGGAGCAGAACTGGTGCTGGTTGTAGGAGCAGAGCTCGTGGTGCTGGTGGTGGGAACAGGGCTGGGAGTAGTTCCAGGACTAGAGGTTGTGCTGGTTGTAGAAGTAGAGGTTGTGCTGGTGGTAGGAATAGGGCTGTGAGTAGTTTCAGGACCAGAGGTTGTGCTGGTTGTAGAAGCAGAGGTTGTGCTGGTTATAGCGGCAGAGGTTGTGCTGCTTGTAAGGGCAGAGGTTGTTCTGGTTGTAGGAGCAGTAGTTGTGCTGATGGTGGGAACAGGGCTGGGAATAGTTGCAGGACCAGAGGTTGTGCTGCTTCTAGGAGCAGAGCTGGTGCTGGTTGTAGGAGCAGAGGTTGTGCTGGTGGTAGGAACAGGGCTGGAAGGAGTTCCAGCACCAGAGGTTGTGCTGGTTGTAGAAGCAGAGGTTTTTCTGGTTGTAGGACCAGAGGTTATGCTGGTGGTGAGAACAGGGCTGAGAGTAGTTCCAGGACTAGAGGTTGTGCTGGTTGTAGGAGCAGAGGTTGTGCTGGTGGTAGGAACAGGGCTGGCAGTAGTCTCAGGACCAGAGGCTATGCTGGTTGTAGCGGCAGAGGTTGTGCTGCTTGTAGGGGCAGAGGTTGTTCTGGTTGTAGGAGCAGAGGTTGTGCTGATTGTGGGAACAGGGCTGAGAGTAGTTCCAGGACTAGAGGTTGTGCTGGTTGTAGGAGCAGAACTGGTGCTGGTTGTAGGAGCAGAGCTGGTGCTGGTTGTAGGAGCAGAGGTTGTGCTGGTGGTTGGAACTGGGCTGGGAGTAGTTCCAGGACCAGAGGTTGTGCTGGTTGTAGAAGCAGAGGTTGTGCTGGTAGTAGGAACAGGGCTGGGAGCAGTTTCAGGACCAGAAGTTGTGCTGCTTGTAAGGGCAGAGGTTGTTCTGGTTGTAGGAGCAGTAGTTGTGCTGGTGGTGGGAACAGGGCTGGGAATAGTTGCAGGACCAGAGGTTGTGCTGCCTGTAGGAACAGAGCTGGTGCTGGTTGTAGGAGCAGAGATTGTGCTGGTGGTAAGAACAGGGGTGGGAGTATTTCCAGGACCAATGGTTGTGCTGGTTGTAGAGGCAGAAGTTGTGCTGGTTATAGGAGTTGAGATTGTGCTGGTTGTAGGGGCAGAGGTTGTGCTAGTTGTAGGAGCAGAGGTTGTTGTAGTCTGTCGAGTGAAAGTTGTGCTTTTTGTAGGAGCAGAGGTTGTTGTGGGTGGAGGAGCAGAGGTCGTGCTGGTTGTAGGAGCAGAAGTCGTGCTGGTTATAGGGGCAGAGGTTGTTCTGGTCTTTCGAATGCACTTGGTGCTTTTTGTAGGAGCAGATGTTCTGGGTGTATGAGCAGAGGTCATGCTGGTTGTAGGAGCAGAGGTCGTGCTGGTTTTAGGGGTAGAGGTTGTGCTGGTCTTTCGAGTGCAGGTTGTGCTTTTTGTAGGAGCAGATGTTCTGGGTGTAGGAGCAGAGGTCGTGCTGGTTTTAGGGGTAGAGGTTGTGCTGGTCTTCCGAGTGTAGGTTGTACTTTTTGTAGGAGCAGAGATTGCTCTGGGTATAGGAGCAGAGGTCGTGCTGGTTGTAGAGGCAGAAGTCTTGCTGGTTGTAGGGGCAGAGGTTGTGCTGGTCTTTCGAGTGCAGGTTGTGCTTTTTGTCGGAGCAGAGGTTGTTCTGGGTGTAGGAGCAGAGGTTGTGTTGGTTGTAGGGGCAGAAGTTGTGCTGGTTGTAGGAGCCGAGGATGTGCTAGTTGTAGGAGCTGAGGTTGTGCTGGTTGTCAGAGCAGAGATTGTTCTGGGTGTAGAAGCAGAGGTCATGCTGGTTGTAGGGGTAGAGATTGTACTGGTCTGTGGAGTGGAGGTTGTGCTAATTGTCACCAAAGTGGTTGTCCTGGGTTTCTGCCAAGAGGAGGTGCTCTGAGTTGGACTGGTGGCTCTCCCACTTGGGGTGCTAGGAGCTGTGACAGGTGTGGACATCACAGGGCAGCCTTTGGGGGTCTCACAGCAGAGCACGCGCACCTCGTAGTTGAGGCACATCTTGAAGGGTCCCTGCTGGTCCTGGTTCCGGCACACCAGGCCCTCTTCGCGGCTGCACTGCACCACCTGGCCCAGGTGTTCGATGCTCACCTCCGGGTGGCTTGTGGCTCGGCACTGGAGCCTGGTGATCTCCTCAGGTTGGCGGCAGATTTTTTCCCCACTTCTGATGATGTTGTTGTAGGTTTCCTCATCTCCGCCGTGGGGTCCAGGGGACGGGAAGTCCACGTCGAACCACTTGGTCCAGGTGCACTGGGGATGACAATCTCTGGTGACCGATCTGTTGTGGGTGTCCTGTGTGACGCTGGTTGCTGTGGACCCGCCCCTGGAGGTGGCTGTGGGTTGCTCCGTGGAGGCCGAGGGCACGTGTGTGGTGAAGGTGGTCTGGGTCTGAGCTCCAGCCGGGTGTGGAGTCGGCCGTGTCGTTGTGATGGTCTTCAGCGTTCCGGTGCCGTCTCTGCACTTGTTCACCGTCTTGCAACACTGGATGCGGATCTCGTAGTTGTAGCAGATGGGTGGGAGCTGATTCTTGTTCAGGCAAATCAACCCCTCCGTGCGGCTACAGATGACGTCCTGCCCCAGGTCTGCCAGCGGCGTGTTGGGGAAGCCCACTGCCCGGCACTCCACGCTTCGAGGATTTTCACAGAATTTGTACCCTTCGTCTCTCAAATTTTGAAAAGTGTCAAAATCTCCGCCATTTATTCCGGGATCAGGGTAGCTGCCGTCGATCCACTCGGTCCAGGTGCAAAGCTCGTGTACACAGGAGGGTGTGATGGACTCGGTGTGGCTGGGCTTGCTGGAGACCACAGAGGTCCCCGGGGCCGTGGTCGACACGGACGATGTTGATGTTGCTGGCACTGGCGGAGGGCTGGGAGTTGAGAAAGTTCTTTTGACAGATGTAGCGGTACCTGGGGCAGGTGTTGTCCTGGATGTAGAGAGAGACACGGGGCCAGGTGTGCTGCTGGGGACTGAGGAGGCTGAGGCCCGGGTTTCAGTGGTCTTGGAGGTTGTTGGAGGAGTGGTCTGGGTTGAACTGCTAGAGGTGGAGCAGGCTAGGGGCGTGCAACACAGGACCCTGATCTGGTAGTTGTAGCAGAGCCCCGATGCCTGCTCCCTGTTACGACAGGTCAGCCCCATGTCCGGGCTGCACTGCACATGCTGCCCCAGGGCTCGGAGCGGCACTCGGGGGGCGTCCTCGGCTCGGCACTCCACCGACCTGGGTGATTCGCACACCAGGTACCCATGGGCGCGGAGGTTCTTCAGCGTGTCAAAGTCACCGCTGTCCATGCCCTGTCCAGGGCGGCTAACGTCCATCCAAGGTGACCACAGGCACTCTTCCCCACAGACCGGCGGCAGCGAGGCAGAGGCTGTGGGCGGCCTCGTCCTGGGAGAAGTGCCTGCTGTGGTGGGCCAGGCGCTGCTTGGAGGGCCTGTGTGCGCGCTGCTCGGGACAGGGCTGGAGGCGTGCGTGGAGCTCACGACTGTGGGCAGAAGATAAGGCAGCTGAGCACGAGGGGCTGGCACTGGGGGCTGCCCCCACCCCTCCCTGCGGCCCTGTCAGCGATCCGAGGCTGCACCAGCAGGCCTGTCTGCTTGTCCCCACCCACGGTCCCTGCTCAGAACCCACATGAGTGGCACAGCTGCTGAAGATCCAGGCCAACTGACTGAGTTTTAGGGAAGTGGCTCCCAGGCCATGCCCTGAGCGGCGTCCACACATCTGTGCCCCAGAACACCAGAGTTCCAGAGCTTTCTACTCTCAGAGAAGCTCAGTTGATGCCTTGGGGCCCTGAGACATCCCCCAGGAGAGAGCAAGGACACGGGGGTACCTGAACCCTGAGCAGTGTGAGGCAAGTGATAGCCGTGCATCCCCAGGGCCAGGCTGGGCTTCCAGACCCCCGACACTCCCATGAGGCCAGGCCCGGGGGCTGCTGAGGGCAGGACTTGGACGCCAGGCCTGCCGGGGTGACTTGGAGGCTGGGCCCTCCCCACTGCAGATGGCTGGCGGGAAAACAGCAGGTCATCCCTAAGCCCAATACCCTGCTCCTCGGTCCCTTCCTGATCCTCAGGGGCTGCCGCCCATGCCCAGAGCTGCTGTGACCTCAGCGTCCAGCAAGGGCAGCTGTGCCGGGCAGTGGGAGGGGCTCACCCTGGGGCTCCTCGGCCGCATTTGCCTTACCGAGTGGGGGCGTGGAGAAGGAGAAGGTGGTTGGGGGGACGGGGGTGGTGGGGCTGCAGGGGTAGACCCTCCTCTCAATGGTGCCGTTGGCCCCACAGCGGGCAGAGATGCAGCCACCCGTGCCGTCCGTCGTGTGGTAGATGACGTCCCCTGGGTGGAAGCTCTGTCCGTCGTAGGTGCAGACACAGGCTGTGGGAACAGAGGGGCCGGGCCCGTCAGAGGCTGGGCGCAGGCAGAGATCCCCGGATCCCAGCCCCAGGGGCTGCCGGCCGCTCACCCTCAGCTTCGTAGGTACACTCCACGCCGCGCTCAGTGCATAGGCTGGAGACAAGGAAGAAGGGCAGGCTGGTGCATGGGGGCGGCTGCGTGCCTTCCACGGGCATCCCATGCTACCAAGGGCGGGCAGGGAGCAGCTCCAACAGGGGTGAAGTTCCCTGGGCACCGCACTGCACCCCCGGACTGGGGAACAGGGAGGCCAGCCCCACCCGGGCCCCAGCAGTTGTCCCTCCAGGGTCAGCCCAAGGTCCCTCCCTTGTGGGGCCCCTCCAGTCAGGGGCCAGGGGAGGTGGGTGCTAGAGTGGAGCCATTACTCCCCAGGGGTGATTTTAACGGGCGTCCTTCCCGTGGGGACCCTCGGGCTCCATCTTGGCCCAGCTTCCCGCTGCCGCCCCCTGAGCCCCTCGAGCCTGCTCCCCAGAGGCTGTGCTGGTTTTCTGCCCAAAGGAGCCCTACACCCAGCCCTGCCTCTGGGACTCAGGACACGGGGGTGCTGGGCCCTGAGAAGCTTATGTCACAGTCGCCTGGGCCAGGATGGGACCCACAGCTTCAACTCCAGTAACGGGAGAGTCCCCAGCCCTGCTGCCCCCAGCCGCACCCAGAGCCCAGGCCGTGGCCACATCTCCCTGCGTGCTGCAGGCTCCCCATTCCTCCTGCCAAAGGACTCACCAGGAGTGGCAGTTCTTGTCTGAGGGCACCACTGCGCCTGGCCGGTAGGACTTCCCGTGGACGTGGCACGGTGGTGGCGGAGGTGGGGTTGGGCAGGTGGCCACACACTGCATCTTGTCCTCATCAAAGATGGGAGCCTCTGGTGGGCACTTGGGGTAGCAGCCTGTGGGCCAGAGAGGCCAGAGTCACAACCAGACCCAGCGTCAGGCGCCTCGCCCTGGAGGGCTCCGCCCAGCCCCCAAGCAGTGGGCCTCGCTGACAGCACCGGAATGTGCTGGAAGCTGGGGTCACAGAGGCTCCTCGAGGGACCAGGAGAAGGGACCAGGAGAAGGCCACAGGTGGCAGAGCGCAGGCCAGCACCTCCCAGCCAGCCCCAGCCCACCTTCCAGGCCCCGGACGTCCTGCAGGCACTCTCCGCGCGGGTTCCGGCAGGTCCGCAGGCAGGGCGCCCCGCAGGGCTGGTAGTGCCACTCGCACTGGCCTTCCGGGTTGTAGTAGTCACAGAACAGAGCTGCAGGGAGGAAGGAAGGGCTCGGTGGGGCCCCAGGCGCTCACTCGGGGAGGCCCCGCACCCTGGGGCTGCTCTAAAGCCGCTTCCCTCCCCTGCGCCTCTCAGCCATCGCAAGATGGAGACGGGGAGAGGGGGCCAGATCGGCACCCCCCAGTTATCAGGGTGCCACGGAGGCTGCCAGCAGAGTGGGGGTCTCCAGCCAGAACAGCTCCAGCAGTGCCTGTTCCTGGCAAGGCTCCATGTGGGCTAGAGCTGGGCAGCTCTGCTGACCCCTCTGCCCAGAACGTTCTACCACACCAGCGACCCCTCCGTCAACCACACCCTCCTCTCTGGGCCCAGGTGTTACTGTTTCTTTGGAAACCTTCCCCGTCTCCCCACCCATCAGTGGTGAGGGTGGTGGGGCACACCCTGCTGGCACTTCCTGTTCTGCCCCGGGCGCCCGCTCGCACTCACGGCAGATGCTCGGGGTCCGCCAGGACACACACAGGCCCGCTTCATGGCAGGCCTGGGCATAGGCGGCCACAGCCGTGCAGAAACACTCGCAGTCACCCCCTGAGTCGCAGGCACATGCGTCGTTCACACAGGCCTCGTAGTACCTGGCTGGCTCCACCTGAGGGAGACGGGGCTTCAGGTTCCAGGGACCCCCCGACCCTCCCCGCAGGCTCTTGGGGACCGGGCCCACAATGACATATTGACCGGGACCGAGTTCCAGTGGAGCTCAGGGAGGGCGAATGTCCATCCCCAAGTGGCCAGCTGGGCCCATCTGGATATCCACAGGGCCCGGGGCTTCCTTGGCAGCCCTCGGGGTTAACACCCCCCAGGGCCCCGAAACCACAGCTGACAGGTGTCAGAGCTGGACGCCCAGCCCCTCTAGGGGAGTCCACACCAGCGCCAGCATCAGCCCCAGCAGCCCACACCCTTGGTTGGCAGCTGTCCCCCAGCCCCCATTCCCTTCGCCCTTCTGGGGCCTCCTTGGGTCTCCATGACCCCCTTGGGCCCTGAGAAACGCCCCCCAGCCAGCATACGTGTGCGTGGCAGGCGGCAAAGGTGGGGCCGTGGAGGATGCTGCACTGCCTCTGGGCCCAGGACTTGCGGAAGGGGTTGGCCGTGCAGGGGTCCTTGGCCACCAGGGCATCCGGGCAGGACGGGGAGAGCTTCCAGCTGTTCCCGAACTCCAGCACGTCCCCCACCACAGACTGGCTCCGTGTGGCAAAGTCGTTGGCGGCAATGTCGTCGAAGTTCCCGCACAGGCCGCAGACCCTGCTCTGCAGAGGCGCCGGGAGAGGTGGAGGTGGTGCAGCAAACCCAGAAGGCCAGGGCCCCCCTGCCCCTCGGCCGCCTCCTCCCACCCAGGGCCCCCCTGCCCCTCGGCCACCTCCTCCCACCCAGGGTCCCCCTGCCCCTCGGCCGCCTCCTCCCACCCAGGGCCCCCCTGCCCCTCGGCCGCCTCCTCCCACCCAGGGCCCCCCTGCCCCTCGGCCGCCTCCTCCCACCCAGGGCCCCCCTGCCCCTCGGCCGCCTCCTCCCACCCAGGGCCCCCCTGCCTCTCGGCCACCTCCTCCCACCCAGGGACCCCTGCCCTGCAGCCGCCTCCTCCCACCCAGGGCCCCCCTGCCTCTCAGCCACCTCCTCCCACCCAGGGACCCCTGCCCTCGCCCCCCCCCCCAGGCCCCTGCCCTGCCCCCCTCCCACCCAGGGCCCCCCTGCCCCTCGCCCCTCCTCCCACCCAGGGCCCCCCTGCCCCTCGGCCGCCTCCTCCCACCCAGGCGGCTGACAGCGACCACAGGCACTGCTTCCCCTTTCCCACCTCCAGCTACACCTGGGGAGGCCCCGGGCAGTGCAGCTGAGCACTGAGGGCCGGGGCCAGACACAAGCCCCTCCTGGAGAAAAAGGAGCTGATGTGGCCTCGAAGGACCTGCCTAAGTCCTGATCCCGGTGCCTGTGCATGGCACCTCACTGGGAGATGGGATCTTGCAGGTTGAGGTAATGACTGGGTCCTGAATCCAATGCCTGGTGTCCTTATAAAAGCAAAACTTAGACCCAGTCACAGGGAGGAGGCCGCATGAAGACAGGGGCAGTGATCCGAGCGGTGTGGCCACAGTCGAGGAGTGCTGGGGTCCCCAGCAGATGCAAGGGGCCAAAAGGAGCCCCCCAGAGCCTTCTGAAAGAACTCGGCCCAGTGGATGCCCTGCTGGACTTCCAGTGTCCAGGCTGCGGGCAAATCCGCCAGGGTGCGGGCCTTTGCTCTGGCCTCAGAACACGGACACCCAGCCAAGGAATCTCCTGACCTGCTGCCCTTGCCAAGGCTCCGTCCCCCCGACTTCCCACCCCCTTTCCATCTCTGTGTTTCTGCGTCTCTGTGCCTCTCGTCTCTGCCCACCTGTTCCATGCACCCCACCTCCGGGTTCCCACCTCCGGGTTCCCACCTCCGGGTTTCCACCTCCGGGTTCCCACCTCCGGGTTCCCACCTCCGGGTTCCCACCCCCGGGTTTCCACCTCCGGGTTCCCACCTCCGGGTTCCCACCTCCGGGTTCCCACCTCCGGGTTTCCGGCTGGCCCTGGCCTGGATGAGGGGCGTAGAGTCTCACCTTGAACTCGGGGCTAAGGTTGATGAAGATGCTGGTCTTCTTGTCCCACAGCAGAACCAGGCCGATGTCGGTGTCCACCACCAGGTAGATGCCCATCTGCCGGATGGTGTATGGCACCTCCTGGCTCTCGTTCGTCCCAGTCACCTCCACCTTCCCGTGGCTCAGCTTCAGCTCGGAGCCCTGCACGGCAAGGGGTCGCTCAGGGCCCCCAGCGAGAACCCCAGCCCACCTGGCCAGGCGCTGCCAGGGGAGCCTCCCGGAGGGCATGCAACCGCCCGGCCTCACTCACCCCCAGGAAGATCTTGATGGCCTTGGAGCAGGTGGTCCCCGTGGTGCCGCAGGGGACGTTCTCAGTGACAACACGGAAGGAGTCCTGCACGCTGCCTTTCCCGCCACAGTGGTTCTGGGGAAACAGAGGCCATCAAGGACCAGGCCGGCCCCGCCCTCCTTTCCGCAAGGAGGATGGGGCCGAGACAACCTGTGTGCACCCTGGGGCAACTGCAGACAGGCAGTGAGCAGCTGCGGGTCGCGGGGACCGCCGTGAAGACCCCAAACGCGCCGGCTCACCTGCACCAGCATGTACTCGCAGTCTCCGTTGAAGCTGTAGCTCTGCCCGTCGAAGGTGAGGTAGTGGCCATCCCCGTACACAGCACAGGTGGCCAGGCAGGGGTCATCTGTACACCGCCACATCCTGCTGTCACAAGTGCTGGGGGACATCTGGGGGTCAGGCTAGAGCACCCACAGGGTGCCTGCCTGGCTGGGTGCAGCCTTCCTACCCCCAGGGGGACCTAGCACCACAGACACGCGCCCACTGGGCCTCCCTGCCTGGGGCTGCTGGGAGCATCCAGCCCTGAGTCTGTGCCCTGCGTTTTCCCGGGATCCCTGTGCTGGGGGCTCGCCTGTCTCTAAGGAGGGCCTCTGGTACCCTGAACCTGACACGCCCCATGGGCTTTGAGCCCCCCGCATACCAGGTATTGCAGCCAACCCGGATGGTCTGGCCGGCCCGGTAGCTGGCCTCGTTGTGCACGCAGGGGCAGTCCTCCACAGTGATGCAGTTGCCCTCGCCGTCTGCCACCAGCCCATCGGGGCACACGCAGCCAGGCACACACTGGGGGCTGTACTGCAGGGCCAGCAGATGCCGCTAAGTGATGGGGCAGGGCACGGGACCTGCCAGGTCCTCCCAGGGACAGCTCACCCGTGCTACAGTGGAGGGGCCACAGGACCAGAGAGTCCGGGAGCCCATGGGTCAGGGTCCTCTGGGACGTGGGGCAGCCCATGGCATGGCCTCATGTATCAGAGGCTCACCACTGCCCACCCTGGGAGCAGGCACCCTTAGCAGGCAGCGGCGGATGGAGGGTCTGTCATCGGGGAGTCCTCAGGGGCTTACACAGGTCATGTCCAGGGTGTGGCAGCTCTTCTGACAGCCGGCCCCCGTGTCCCCGGGCGTGGCATTGCGGCAGTCGAAGAACACCATGGGCGCAGCACACACTGGGGAGGGAAGGGCCGTCAGGGGGCCCAGCCACAGGCTGCTGCAGTGCCTCAACTATGTGTTCAGGGAGGACGTGTCTGTGCCGTGTGCGTGTGCATGAGTGGGTGTGTGTGCATGAGTGGGAGTAAGTGCGTGTGCATGAGTGGGTGTGTGTGCATGAGTGGGTGTGTGTATACATGAGTGGGTGAGCATGTCCATGAGTGGGTGTGTGAGCACTGCATAAGTGGGTGTGAGTGCTTGTCCATGAGTGGGTGTGTGTGCGTGAGTGGGTGTAAGTGCGTGTGCATGAGTGGGTGTGAGTGTGTGCATGAGTGGGTGTGAGTGCGTATGCAAGAGTGGGTGTGTGAGCGTGTCCATGGGTGAGTGTGTGAGCGTGTCCATGAGTGGGTGTATGAGCATTGCATAAGTGGGTGTGTGTGCATTAGTGGGTGTGTGTGCATGAGTGGGTATGAGTGCGTATGCATGAGTGGGTGTGACAGCATGTGCATGAGTATGAGTGTGTGTGCATAAATGGGTGTGTGCATGAGTGGGTGTGAGTGCATGCATGAGAGGGTGTGTGTGTGCATGAGTGGGGGTGACTGCGTATTCACGAGTGGGTGTGTGTGCATGAGTGGATGCGTGTGCATGAGTGGGTGTGGATGCATGAGTGGGTGGGTGTGCATGAGTGTGTGAGTGTGCATGAGTGGGTGTGACAGCATATGCATGAGTATGAGTGTGTGTGCATGAATGTGTGTGCATGAGTGGGTGTGTGCACGAGTGGGTGAGTGCATGCATGAGAGGGTGTGAATGCATGTGCATGAGTGAGTGTGAGTGTGCATGAGTGGGTGTGAGTGCGTATTCATGAGTGGGTGCGTGTGTATGAGTGGGTGCGGATGCATGAGTGGGTGTGAGTGTGCATGAGTGGGTGTGAGTGCATATTCATGAGTGCGTATTCATGAGTGGGTGCGTGTGCATGAGTGGGTGTGTGTGCATGAGTGTGTGAGTGTGCATGAGTGGGTGTGAGTGCATATGCATGAGTGGGTAAGCGTGTCCATGAGTGGGTGTGTGAGCATTGTATAAGTGGCTGTGAGTGGTGCATGAGTGGGTATGAGTGCGTATGCATGAGTGGGTGTGACAGCATGTGCATGAGTATGAGTGTGTGTGCAAATGGTGTGGCATGAGTGGGTGTGAGTGCATGCATGAGAGGGTGTGTGTGCATGAGTGGGGTGACTGCGTATTCACGAGTGGGTGTGGTGCATGAGTGGATGCGTGTGCATGAGTGGGTGTGGATGCATGAGTGGGTGGGTGTGCATGAGTGTGTGAGTGTGCATGAGTGGGTGTGACAGCATATGCATGAGTATGAGTGTGTGTGCATGAATGTGTGTGCATGAGTGGGTGTGTGCACGAGTGGGTGAGTGCATGCATGAGAGGGTGTGAATGCATGTGCATGAGTGAGTGTGAGTGTGCATGAGTGGGTGTGAGTGCGTATTCATGAGTGGGTGCGTGTGTATGAGTGGGTGCGGATGCATGAGTGGGTGTGAGTGTGCATGAGTGGGTGTGAGTGCATATTCATGAGTGCGTATTCATGAGTGGGTGCGTGTGCATGAGTGGGTGTGTGTGCATGAGTGTGTGAGTGTGCATGAGTGGGTGTGAGTGCATATGCATGAGTGGGTAAGCGTGTCCATGAGTGGGTGTGTGAGCATTGTATAAGTGGCTGTGAGTGCGTGTGCATGAGTGGGTGCGTGTGCATGAGTGGGTGTGTGTGCATGAGTGGGTGTGTGAGCGTGTGCGTATGTGTGCATCAATGGGTGTGTGTGCATAAGTGGGTGTGAGTGCATGTGCATAAGTGGGTGTGTACATGAGTGGGTGCGAGTGTGTGTGTGAGTGGGTTTGTGAGTGTTGCATAAGTGGGTGTGCATGTGCATGAGGGTGTGAGGGGGTGTGCATGATTGGGTGTGTGAACATGTGCATGAGTGTGTGTGTGCATGAATGGGTGTGTGTGCATGAGTGGGTGTGAGTGCGTGTGCATGAGTGGATGTGTGAGCATGTGCATGAGTGGGCGTGAGTGGGTGTGTCATGTGTGCGCCCACACCCTCCTTTCTTCCCCCTTGCTGCCCAGAGGGCACAAACCATGCCTGACGCCGAGCAGCTGATCGACAACCACCAGCCCCGTTGACTTGCGGTGGGACTAACCCTGAAGCCATTTTTCAGGATTTCTTATGGAGATGATGAGGCTGGGGTCCCCAGTGCCTCCTTTCTGGCACTCACCTGGGGTGGGGGCTTGGCCTCCGATGCAGCTCAGCTTCCCATGCGTGCAGGTGCTGTGAGGAGACGGTGGTCAGAGCCTCATCCTGGGCCACCAGGTGCCAGGGACCCCCAGTCCACAGCGGGAGCTCTTACCAGACAGCCCCACTGTCGTGCACCGACTCCCCATTGGGGATCACGGAGCCCCTGTGATAGCAGGGACAGTTGCTGGCCTGCACACACTTGCCCGTGTCGTCCAGGAAGGTGCCCTCGGGACAGATGCAGCCATCCACGGGGATAAAGCCAACACTGCAGGTGATGTCCCCCTCACTCAGAGAGCGGCAGGTGGGCTGGCAGGTGCTGACATGGTAGTGGTAGGTCATCGACTTGGGGCAAGTGGTCATGGGCTTCGCTGCAGGATGCCAGGAAGAGGGAATTCTCAGGACACAAAGCCCAGCGGTGGGCAGCCAGCAGCGAGGGAGCCCAGCCCTCTCAGCTACCCTCCCCTCCCCTCCTCGGCCGGGTCCAAGGCCACACTGACCTGGGCGCTCCTTGCCCTCAAGCCCAGCACAGAGGACGGGGGCCCTTAGAGCACCTGTGCACACCGGGGGCATCCCAAGACCCGAGGGCACCCCAATATCCGCGGCCACCCAGTGTGGGAAAAGGGCTGGGCTTGGCGGGCACTCACTGCAGACGCCGTTCCTCCAGCCACTGAGCTGCACACCCTTGGCGGCACAGGCATGCACATAGGAGGACAGCACGGCGCACAGGCAGTCCTCGCTCCGCTCACAGTTGCAGGTGTCAAACATGCAGTTCTGTGGGGAAGGGGGGCATCAGGGCATCAGAGACCCCAGCCCACACCTGGTGGCCCCCCATGCCCTGCAGGCCACACATCCAGCAGCCAGGGTCCTCCCGTCCCGGGTCTTCCTGCCTCCAGGACCCCTCCCTGAGTCCTCACAGGCATCCCACCCCCTCAGCAGAACCGCTTGGCATGTCATGCAGCAGAACCACCGTGCAAAGCAGGGGTTGTTGGGAGGGCCAGGTCCTTCATCTCTGTGACCCAACAGGTCCAGCCATGCCCAATTTCCCTCAGACACAGCGCATCAGCTCAGCCTTGGCCTAACTTCCATTTGGCCCCTGGGGCCAGGGGGGCAACAAACCCCTGAAGTTTAGCCCCTGTGCCTAGTGTAGGGCTGGAGGTGCAAGAAAAACACCATAAACGTGGTTAATGAATGAGTGAGTGAAGGGATGAATGAAGGAATAAGTGAGAGGATGAGTGAGTGAATAAGTGAGTGAATGAGTGAGTGGGTGAGTGAGTGGATGTGTGAGTGAGTGGATGAGTGAGTGGATCAGTGAGTGGATGAGTGAGTGAGTGAATGAGTGAGTGGATGAGTGAGTGAGTGAATGAGTGAGTGAATGAGTGAGTGAGTGGATGAGTGAGTGGATGAGTGAATGAGTGGATGAGTGAGTGAGTGGATGAGTGAGTGAGTGGATGAGTGAGTGGATGAGTGAATGAGTGGATGAGTGAGTGAGTGTATGCATGAGTGGATGAGTGAGTGAGTGAGTGGATGAGTGAATGAGTGTATGAGTGAGTGAGTGGATGAGAGTGAGTGGATGAGTGAGTGAGTGAATGAGTGAGTGGATGAGTGAGTGGATGAGTGAGTGAGTGAGTGAGTGGGTGGATGAGTGAGTGGATGAGTGAGTGAGTGAATGACTGAGTGGATGAGTGAGTGAGTGAATGACTGAGTGGATGAGTGAGTGAGTGAATGACTGAGTGGATGAGTGGGTGAGTGAATGAGTGAATGGATGAGTGAGTGGATGGGTGAGTGAGTGAGTGGATGAGTGAGTGAGTGGATGAGTGAGTGAGTGAATGACTGAGTGGGTGAGTGAGTGAATGAGTAAGTGAGTAGATGAGTGAGTGAGTGGATGAGTGAGTGAGTGGATGAGTGAATGAGTGGATGAGTGAGTGGATGACTGAGTAGATGAGTGGGTGAGTGAGTGAGTGAATGAGTAGGCGAAGGAATCAGTGAGTAAATGAGTGAATGAGTGAGTGAAGAAATTCGTGAATGAGTGAGTGAGTAAGCGGATGAGTGAATGAGTGAGTGAAGAAATTCGTGAATGAGTAAGTAAATGAGTGAGCGGATGAGTGAATGAATAAGTAGATGAGTAGGTGAAGGAATTAGTGAGTGGGTAAATGAGTGAATGAGTCAGTGAAGAAACGAATGAATGAGTGAGTGAAAAAGCGAGTAAGTGAATGAGTGAGTGAATGGGTGAGTGGATGAATGAGTGAATGGGTGAGTGAGTGAATGGGTTAGTGGGTGAATGAGTGAATGGGTGAGTGGGTGAGTGAGTGAATGGGTGAGTGGGTGAGTGAGTGAATGGGTTGGTGAGTGAGTGAATGGGTTAGTGGGTGAGTGAGTGAATGGGTGAGTGGGTGAGTGTGTGAATGGGTGAGTGGGTAAATGGATGAATGGGTGAGTGAGTGGATGGGTGAACAGGTGAACGGGTGAGTGAGTGGGTGAATGGGTGGGTGAGTGGGTGAGTGGTGAACGTGTGAATGAGTGAATGGGGGGCTGGGGACGTGGGGAATGGAGCTGGACAGACAGGCTGGGTCCCAGCCCCTGGTGCCCATCACAGCCTAGAAAGGTTGGTACTGACTGCCGAGCCCCCCCAGTGCCCTCCCAGCCCTCCTGGAGGCAGCTGTGAGGCTCAGTGGCCGGAGCCCCACTGGGCCAAGAGGCGGCAGATGCTACCGAGTAGTAGGTGTCCGGCTTCACGGCAGCGTGGCACCGGCTGAAGGGGCCGTTGGCATCGGTCAGCTGCGAGCACCAGTGCTGAGCATACTTCTCTGTGGACAGAGGAGGGTTAGGGTTAGGATTAGGATCAGGCAGCACACTCATCCCACCCAGCTTGGCCCCTGGTGTGGGGTTTGGGGCGCCAGCTTCTCTGGGCAGTCTGGCGTTGGGCCCTACATCCTGCTACACACTCAGCCCGGGTGGTGCGGCGCCCTCCCTGAGGGAAAGCTCCCCCAAGTGCAGGGTACGACACCCAGAGCTGAGGCTTCTCTCGTTTTCCTGCATGTCCCACCCAGCCCCTCACAGCCTCTCATGGTGCCGCCTTCCAGGGAAGCTAGTGACCCCCACTCTGGACAGACAAACTGAGGTCCTTCTGGCCCCTCCACTGGGCTCACTGGACCCAGGCTTCCCAGGCTGCAGGAAGCAGGTAAGAGCCCGCGAGATAGGATCCCACCTCCCCACAGCTGGCGCCCGAGCTCCGAAGGCGGAGTGAATGACTGAGTGAGTGAGCGAGTAAGTGAGCAGATGAGTGAGTGGATGAGTGAGTAAGTGAGTGGGTGAATGGGTGAGTGAATGGTTGAGTGGGTGAATGGGTGAGTGAGTGGGTGAGTGGGTGACTGGGTGAATGGGTGAATGGGTGAGTGAATGAGTGAATGGTTGAGTGCATGAGTAGGTGAGTGAGTGGGTGAGTGAGTGACTGGGTGAGTGGGTGAGTGGGTGAATGAGTGAGTGGGTGAGAGGGTGAATGGGTGAGTGAGTGAATGGTTGAGTGGGTGAATGGGTGAGTGAGTGGGTGAGTGAGTGAGTGGGTGATGGGTGAATGGGTGAATGGGTGAGTGAATGAGTGAATGGTTGAGTGGGTAAGTGAGTGAGTGGATGAGTGAGTGAGTAGGTGAGTGGGTGAGTGGGTGAATGAGTGAGTGGGTGAGTGAGTGGGTGAATGGGTGAGTGAATGGGTGAATGGGTGGGTGAGTGGGTGAGTGGGTGAGTGAATGGGTGAATGGGTGGGTGAGTGGGTGAATCCATTCCCCACGTCCCCACCACCCCACCCCGTGCAGGGGTAGGCAGTCAGGGCCGATATCGACCAACAGAGACTCGCACCCTTTCTTTGACCCTGAAGCAGGTGCCCCACATTCCTGAAGCTCCATATAAGCCGGGCGAGGCGCCCACCATGAGCCTGTCCTTGGGCCCCTTCGTGAGCCACCCCACCTGGCTCACAGGCACACGTAGGGCCGGCCTCCACGCTGCCTGCAGTGCCAAATGGAAGCGGGAGAACCAGCGCCAGGCGCCCAGCACAAAGGCGAGCTGAACAGACACACGTACCGTTCTCCACACTCAGGGAGCAAGGGTCTTCGAAGCTGTTCCTGATGTTGGGACAGGCGGCCTGGGTCTTGAAGGTGTTGAAGAAGGCCGCGGCCGTGGCCTCCACCACCCCACTGAGGGTCCGGAAGTCATCGGCCTGGATGCTGTTGAAGTTCCCACAGAGACCTGGGGGTGGGTTAGGCAGGGTGAGGGCCATGTGCCCCGGCCAGAGTGGGTGGGCTCCAGACCCCGAAGGCAGCCCTCTTACCGCAGGTCTGCCCTCGGAGCTTGGGCGCCAGCCGCACGAACAGCTGCATGGTGGGTACCAGCTGCAGGTCCAGCTGCAGGCCCAGGCTGGTCTGGGCGATGACGAAGAAGGTCGAAGGTCTGAAGATGGTGACGTTAGCTGGGGACACAAAGGACAAGGGTTTTGCTGGGGGTGTGGGGCGGGACCCCAGGCAGCCCGGGGGTGGGGAGGAGGCCGCCACCCTCACCTGCAGAGATGGGCAGCTGGGTGTATATCTGGTTCAGGAACACTTCCCCGCTGGCCTTGATCACCACCACCTGAGGGCCGCCAGACAGACGTGTGAGCGCGGGGCAGGCTCGCCGCACTCAGCCCCGCGGAGGCTGTGAAATGTGCCTGCAGGTGCCTGGGAGGCCTTTGCCTGTGGCTGTGGGTCCTACAAGGTGGTTTTGTGCTCGCCCTGATTTTCTGAGTTTTCTGTGAGTACCATGCTTTTTATTCTTTAGTAAAAACCAAAGTTATTCACTAAACGTAAACTGACTTCAGCGGAGAAGCCAAGCTGGCCGCAGATGCACCCAGTCCCTCCTTCCCGGGGCCCCTCGGGTCGGGTATGGCGGCCCGGGCGGCCCAGCCCTGAGCTGCTCCTTTAGGGACAGTCACGTGGACCCATAAGTAATGGATGCAGCCAGTGTTGCCGGAGGATCCCCGCCTCTCGCTGTTCACGCCGAGGACGAAGGGCTTGGGCAGAGGTGACTTGTAGAAGAGACAGGCCCCTTCCTCCCTTCCCAGGGTTTGCCCTGCCAGGCTCCACTCACCGTCTGCGCCCCGTCCAGGCTCAGTGTCACGCTCTTCAGGCAGGTCTCGCTGTCCGTCAGCCCACACCTGCGCAGCTCAGCCAGTACAGTGAAGGCACTGCTGTCACAGGGCTGCAGAACCGGACACACCAGGGGTCCTCACACTCCGCCCAGCGCCCAGCCCGCCTGGCCCTGCCCCTCCACCCGGCTGTGCTCCTCTCCCTCACTAGAAACCCCCACTCCAACATCCCAGCCCCCAAGGGGGAGGTGTGCTAGGAGGCCGCCAGGTGTGGACACCGAGGCACACAGAGAAATCTGCATGCACCGTGGGGAGGCCACACTCTGCGACGCCAACTACAGGACCCTCTGGGAAGGACAGCTCTCAGAAGGCACAAATGCCAGTGGATGGCAAGGGCTGGGTGAGGGAGGGGTGAGGAGGCCGAGCTCCAAGGGGTTTGAGGGCAGTGGAGCCGACTGCGTGAAACTGCCTGGCAGGAACAGGACACTGCACATCTGTCCGAAGCTGCGGAATTTCACCACCACAAGGGGCCCCGATGTCAACCGTGACCTGGGAGGTGAGGGCGCCAGTGACCTGGGAGGTGAGGGAGCCAGTGACCTGGGAGGTGAGGGCACCAGTGCAGGCTCTACCCCAAGGCAGGGTCTCATCTTGGGGAGACTGTGTACTGGGTGCTGGGTATCATCTGGGGAGACTTTGTGTTGGAGCGGGAGTACTTTGGGCTCAATTTCTTTGTAAACCTGAAACTATTCTCAACAGTAAAGTCTTAAATAAATAGCCCAAGGTGTGGAGGGCCCAGTGCTGGGTGGGACTGGAGGCTCTGGTCTGCAGCCTTCATGCCCCTGTGGGGCCCAGCCCTGGGTGTGGGCTGCAGCCTTCGTGCCCCTGTGGGGACCAGCGCTGGGTGGGGCTGGAGGCTCCGGTCTGCAGCCTTTGTGCCCCTGTGGGGCCCAGTGCTGGGGAGCTGGGGTGCTTCCTTGAGGTCTCACCATCAGTGACCCCCAAGGGTCACCCCAGGGCAGCAGTGACATGCAGCCAAGCTGCGGGAGCCTGTGGGAGGCTGGCCGTGGGCCCCGTCTGTCCGGCGAGCACCCCAGGCAGCCAGTGCCTACCTTGGTCAACACATAGCTGCAGTCCCCGTGCACCGTGTAGTGCCTCTCGTCAAATGTCGAGAAGTGGGCACCTCCAAGCACAGAGCAGGTACCCGGGCATGGAACCTCCTGGCAGCTCCACCGGCCTCCGGAGCAGGTGCTGAGAGCAAGAGATGGTGCCGTGTGGTTGCTGGTCCCAGGAGACCAGCCTCCAGCCTCCGTGTCAGAGGCTGACTGGGTCTCACCCAGGCCTGCCTACATCACAGCCCGGATGAGGGACGCCTGCCAGCCTGGGTCACAGCCCCCAGCGGGTCCGTCCCATAGCACATCCTGGGGGCCTGGAGGGGGGCCGGGACCTACCAGTTGGTGCAGTCTGTGGAGTAGGTGGCCCCCGGGGCATAGGCAGTGCCGTTGTAGACGCAGGCACACTGTGACACAGGGACACAGCCGGTCTGGCCGACGTCATCGAGCACCGTCCCTGCATGGGTCAGGCAGGCCTGTGATGGGCTCCTGCTATCTCCATGTGGTGGGTGGTGCAGGGGAACAACATGGCAGCCCTACAGCAAGCTGAGGCCTCAGCCAGCCTCAGGGGCCCGGGACATCTCGGACTAGGGGTCTCAGCCAGCCTCAGGGGCCTGGGACAGGAGTCTCAGCCAGCCTCAGGGGCCCGGGACAGGGGCCTCAGCCAGCCTCAGGGGCCCGGGACACCTTGGGCCGGGGACCTCAGCCAGCCTCAGGGGCCCGGGACATCTCGGGCTAGGGGTCTCAGCCAGCCTCAGGGGCCCGGGACAGGGGCCTCAGCCAGCCTCAGGGGCCCGGGACACTAGGACTGGGACCCTTCTTTTGAGGCTTGGCCATGGGAGCACAGCCCCCTAGTTCCCAGGGTGCATCTGTGTTTCCCAGGGGTGGGGGAGCCTCACCCTCAGGGCAAAAGCAGCCGGCCACACAGTGGTCCTCGCAGGCCCGGGAGTGCTCCTGGTTGGAGCAGGTGTCTGTGCAGGGGGAGCGGCACTCGTGGTACTGCATGTTGCTGGGGCACGTCTGGGCTGCGGGAGGCAGAGACACGGCTCACGTCCGCCGGCTCCGGCCCTCCCTGCCAGAGGGGTTGGGGGACAGGGCGCCGGGACACTCACGGCAGAGGTCAGGGCCCCGCCAGTCCTGGGGCTGCCCCCCGGCGTGGGCGCACTGCCGGGAGTACTCCGCGAGGGTGTGGCAGACGCAGCTGAGCAGGTCGGTGCCCCCGCAGAAGCAGAGGTCTTGCCTGCAGGCCTCCAGGTAGCTGCCGACGTCCACCAGGGCCACACAGCTGGAGAAAAGCTGACCATTCAGGAGCTCCTCGCAGATGCCCTAGAACAAAGGCCACAGCCCGACTGAGTCCTCAGTGGGGAATCTGGACCGGTTCCCAGGCTCACAACCCCTCCTCCTCACCGTGCCGGGCCCCTGTTCCCTCCAGGGCTTACAGAGCCAGTGGAGCAGTTCCTCGGGGGTTCAGGGACAGGGTCCTCACACTGCTCCGTGGGGTCGTCCATCTTCTGCAGGTTCCCAAACTCCATGGGAGTCAGCTTGATGTCTGCGGGAAGCACGGAGGTGGGCTCTGCCTGCAGGTCCCAGTACCCCTCAGCCCAGCACCCAAGCAGCAGAGCCCCCACGGCCGGGTCCCTGGGGTGGGGTTAGAAGGGCCATCGGTGGCTCCTGTCCCCTCTGGATGCCTGAGTTGTCCTGGCTGCGCCTGCTTGGCCGCCCCATGCATGCTGCAGGACCCTCGGGGGTCTGGAATGATGGAGAGAAACAGCCCAGGAGGTTGGTGTCCAAGTCACTGGGGGCTGCCGGCTGAGTCCTCAACTGACCCAGGACCCTGGTCTCCTCCTGCCAGGCTGGCGGGAACCTGAGCACCTCCCAGTCCACAGAACCCAGCCAACCCATCTCTGGGCCTGCCTTGCCAAGGGCTGCTGGACACCCAGGCAGACTCAGTTCCCCACAGAGGGACACCCTGTACTCGGGCTTGTATGGGGCTTCACAGGCCTGGCGGGGAGAGGTGGGGAGTGGGGCCTTGGCTGGTGCAGGTCACATTTGCAAGGCCACAGCCTGACGGCAAAGACTCAAAGACCAAGAAGGAGGCAGGTCTGTCATTTCAGGAGAGGGCGTGCGGTCACGGGTCACCACCCAGAGCAGCCACACAGAGCAAGGGGCTCAACGGGCGATTTGCTCCCAGCCTGCACCCCTGAGACAGGCCAGCATTTCGGGATCGCGTGTGTACAGGTGTGTGCTGTGCTGGGAGGGAGGGCAGCTGCCTCCATGCATCTGTGCATGTGTGTGCCAGAGCGTCGGAGGGTGTGTGTGCACACAACACTGAGCCCCCAGGGGACGCTGAGGAAGGGGCTGACGGCGCCATGGGGCCTTACTGTGGGAGAGGAGCTCGCTGACCACGGGCATCCCATTGAAGTCTCCACAGAGCCCACAGGTCTCGTTGGCATATTTGGCGTCCAACTCCAGCTGCAACGGAGGAGACATCAGACACCCGTCCCCACCAAGGGCGGATGGACAGATGAGGCTCAAGCCTGAGATTTCTGAGGAGGGGCCGAGGCCCACAGAGGAGACACCCCCAAAAGCAGTCTCCATCCTGGGGGCACAGACCCCGGGACAGCATTGGTGTCTGGGCACCTGTTCTTGCCTGCTGTGTGGGGTGGGGTCTGACCCTGACTGGGCCCAGGGCACCTTTTACCCTCTCTGGAGAGGCTGTGGGAGCGGACCAGCCCTCGAGGGCTAGAGGTGCACACCGGGACACCCCCACCCCCCAGCCTCACCAGCAGGCTGTCATCGTGGTTCCACATGAGGACAAGGCCCAGTCTGGCCTCCACCTTGGTGTAGCTGCTGCTCTGCTGAATGAAGACCCCAGACTGGCTGAAGGGCAGCAGGACCCTGCGGAGGGAGGCAGGGCTGAGGGGCTGGGAGCACGGTGAGGAGAGATCCCAGGCAGGGCAGATGCCTGTGGTCGCAAACGGGACACGGTCATTGTGACCATGAAGTCACGTCTGGGATGGGGACAGCGACTTCTGGAGCTCTGGGGTCACAAGAAGCTAGGAAGGGGCAGAATAAGAGCCTGGGGATCCCAGGAGGGGATCCAGCTCGGTGGGCCAGCTTGGGGGACCAGGGAGGACCCATGTCCAGCTCCGCTCTCAGGGGCTTGCCAAGAAGTACACATCCTCCCCAGGACTGCCATGCCCCCGTGACCCCCCAGGAATGCCGTCCCCACACACCGCGTGGCCCCCACCATCCGAGAGCCCAGACTCACGGGCGGCCGTTGACCAGGACAGAGCCGTTGGTCAGCTGGATGACCATGCCATCCACCTTCATGAGGACCCTGCTCAGCGTGGGGGCTGCTGACTCCTGGCTGCGGCGTAGCTGGACGTTGAAGTCCTCGTAGGCGGCGCCGCAATGCTCAGAGAACACATAGTTGCAGAGGCCGGGGAAGCGGAAGACGTCGCCGTCGAAGGTCTTGTAGTGGAAGTTGCCCCAGGTGCTGCACACCCGCCCGTTGTGTGCCGGGTTGGAGGCTACGGTGGAAGCAGCATGGCGTTTGGGAGCGTCGCCCTCACCCTCGCCCTGCACCCCTGCCCCTGCCCTGCACCCCTGCCCCTGCCCTGCACTTTCTGCCCCACCCCAGCGTCCTGCAGGAGGTGCTGCTGCCCTGGACGGGGCACCCAGGGGTCCTTCCTGTGTCTGAGAAGTCCCAGAAACGTGTGCAGGGAGGTGCTAGGCCCTCTGGTTCCAATACCTACCCAGTGGCTCCAATACCTACCCAGTGGCCACCTGGAAAGCTGGGGCCCCTCTCCACCAGGCACCTCCAGGCCTGAGCGGGGAGCTCAGCAAAGCTAGGCCCCTTCCCCACCCAGGCCTCGGGGCTCCACTCACCTCGTACCACGGGGATGGTCCTCAGAGGCGGGAAGAGAGTCACCCCACGGGGCGGGACCCCTGCGGAGACAGAGACTGGTAGCCCGGCCCCCAGGTGGGGCGGGGCTTCTACAGCCAGAGATGTTCCAGCGTCTGTGGGTCCCGGCTCCTGGCTCTGAAACCAACTCTGGATTCTGCCGCATGTTGCCCCCCCCCCCCGCCCCACCTACCATCTGCTCCTTGTGTGTTTGCAGCTGCACACCCTGAGTTCCATCTGCACCTTGTGTGTTTGCGGCCGCGCACCCTGAGCCGCACACCCTGAGTTCAGTGTGACTTTCTGCTTCCTCCCGGCTGTCACCAGGAAGAAGCCCTCAGGGGCTGCCAGCTCTCTCACACCCATGGGCCTCAGAACCTGAGTCTGCATCAGCGGCTCAAGTCAGTCTCTTGGGTGCTGAGATTAGGCACATCTGGCCCGATTTGGAGAAATGCAATCTGAGAGTTTGCCAGAAGCCCCCGACTCTGGCTGCCCTCGCCTGCCCTGCCTCTGCCAGGGCTGCTGGGCCCCCACGGGCTCCCGCTAGCACAATCCACACCGGGACGGCCGGTGCCAAGGGAGATACCTGTGTTGCTGAAGTGCCAGGAGGTGAACAGGGGGGACACTGAGGCAGGACCCAGCTCCAGATCCCTGGAGGGTGGCCGGCACCCACAGGACATGGGCACAGCCAGCCTGCCCCGCCCTGCAACTCCTTCAGAGCCTGAGTGCTGCAGGGGGCTGTCCCAAGGACAGGCAGGTAGTGTGACCGACCAGGGTCATGGATGTGGGGTGTCCTCCTGTCCCCCCAGGTTTGGTCCTCAGCGGTGGCCAGCTGGGGAGCCTCCCTAAAACCAGTGCCCCTGGGAGCCGTGCCACTCAGTGGAGGGTGGAATCTGACAGGCTTAGGGTGGGGGCCGGACGCTCAGACTCACCACCAGGTCCCTGGGCGATGGGAGAGAGGGCAGGGTGGTGCTCGTAGCTGGATTCGGAGGAGCCGTCCTGGGCATGGCCTGCAGAAAGAGGAGGGGGGCTGAGCCCAGATGCAGGGTGGCTGAGGGGGCTCAGGCTGCGACCACAGATGCAGCGCGGACACCAGAGGATCAGGAGGCCATGGTGTGTGCAGGTGGCCTGTGGCGAGGGCTCTCTCTGTGCTGGGTTGGAGGTCCTAGGGGGCCTCTGTCCATGTGAGTCGGAAGTCTGAGCCCAGACCCTCCAGGAGCATCCCCTCAACCTGGCCCCATGGAGCAGGTGGTGTCGGGACCCTTTGCCCCAATCTGGCATCCCCATCTATTCATTCCCACTCACTGCAGAGCATGCCAGGCCCTGGCCTCCACACTCAGGACCCCCGCCCACTACAGTGATCCCACTGAGGGGCTGGAGCAGTCAAATGCATGGGAGGGGTCGGCCCCAAGACCGCCTGGAGGACCTTGCCTCCCTACAAGCAGCAGATCTTGCAGGAGGTTGATCTCCAGGTTCCATGGAGACTGTGCAGAATGTCACCAGATCCCAGCCCAGCCCCGCACAGCCCCACACATCCCTGCACAGAACCAGCATGGTGGGACCAGCCCCCAGCCCCGCACAGCCTCGCACAACCCCACACAGTGCCAGCATGGTGGGGGGGGCGCCCGGCCCAGCCCAGGACCCTGCAGAGAGGGGGTCTTGGGGAAAGCTGTGATTCGCCTGCATCCCAGCCCCAGCTTCCCAGTTCCCGCGCCTGACATAGGGGTCCTCAGGCCAGGCTGGGAGACCCCCCTCACCCCCATACCCTCTGCCCCCAGTGGGGCCCAGCGCATCAAATAAGTCAGTGGGTAGAGGGGCCCTTAGCATCTGCAAGCCCCATTGGAGAGACAGAGACAGTGGCCTGAGCCTCACTTACCCCGTCCTGGCCCAGGCCTGCCCCCACCTTCTGAGCCCCGCAGGCCCAGCCCCAGCCCTGCCCTCTCCTGGGAGCAGCCCTGGGAGAGAATTCCTGCTTCTGAGATGAGAGTGGTACAGACGAGGGATGGGGGGGGCAGAGTCAGGCTGGGCCACAGCCAAGGGCAGCACAGAGACACCGGAGACGGTTCTTCTTGCTCTGGGACTGCCTGGCAGAGGGCCAGAGGCTGGGGACAGGGCTGGGCGAGGGACCTGGGTGTGCCATGTGGCCGTCTCAGCAGTGCTGAGGTCCCTGCCCTGCTGTTCCAGGAGCCCAGGAGCACCCACTCCCCCAACTCAACCCCAGGCATTCCCCTGACAGGGGCACATGGTCACCAGCAGACCCAGGCCCAGGTGTCCCCTAGAAGCAGAGGCAGGGACTTACTGGTCCAGCGAGGGGCCGTTCAGATCACAGGGCCTGGAGCCTCCCGCATCACCCTCTTAGCCCCCATCACCCTCTTAGCCCCCATCACCCTCTTAGCCCCCATCACCCTCTTAGCCTTAGGCCGGGGGTGAAACAGTTCCCCTGTGGACCTCACCATTACATCCTCGCTCAGAGGCTGAGACACCCCCAGGAGACCCCCATCGAGGCCCAGACAGGGAACATGAGCTGGTAAACTGGGCACGTGTGGGGTGTGCAAGGGCAGGTGCCTGGGGCTGATGCCCTGACCAGGCCCAGCGGGGGCCGTGAGCCGCTGGAGATACTGTGGGCCAGGCACTGTCGGCCGCCGGGGATAAGTGCAGGGATCCAGGCGGGGAGGGGAAGCCGGAGACCTGAGCTCCTGCTTCCCTGCCTCAGGGAATGGCCCAGCCTCAGAGGTCCCTGAAGCCCGGAGATCCCTTAGCAACCCCACTAAGTGGAAATTGCTCGTTGGTGGCCAGGGCCACAGGCAGGGGCTCTGCTGCTGGGCGCCGTTCATGGCACATGCTCGGAACCCAGGGCAAAGACTGAGCTGCCCGAGGCCCACTCAGTACCGCACCACCCAAGACTAGTAGAGCGGCCAGGGACCGAGCCGTACCTGTGTGCCGGGTGCAGGCCAGAGCAAGAGCCAGGGTCCAGAGTGGGGCCAGCTTCCTCTGGCCGACACCCATCGTGTGGACGGCGGGGAAGAGTGCTCTGTCCCTCGGCAGCCTCTGAGGAGGGACCCAAGGTTGCAGGAGCCTTTTGTAGCCCCAGAGCTGGCTCCGGCCCCGAGCTTCACATGGGTGGGCGGGGCAGGGCCTGTGGTTCCCCCTCACCCGAGTAAACAGTGGGTGCTCACTGCGGGCTGGCCCGCGGCCGGTGGCAGGCAGAGATGGGTGTGTCTGCCAGTTTCCGAGGGCTCCCCCAAGCCCTGGCCTGCAGGGGTTCTCCCCACATACCCCACTCTAGACTCTTCCTGGGCACCGTGCCATGCCCAGCAACCTGTGAGTTCCCGGTGCCCAGAAGTGAGTGCTCAGAACAGCCTGGAGGCACCTCTTTGACACTAAACTCTCTGCAGCAGGACGGGGGGCCCAGCCCAGCCTCTCCCTTTCCTGCCATTCCTCCCATGGCAGACCTTCTGGTTGGACCCTCCATGTGGGCAGTGGAGCTGCCGACTTTGGCTGGGGAATGTGTGGCTGCCTGGGAGGGAGAGGCCAGCCCCAGCCCAGTCCGAAGCTCCTTATGGTCACCTACGTCTCCCTTTCTGTGCCTTTTCTTCCCCATGTCTGTCTTAGCCCAGGTGCCTGGAAAGAGAGCACTTCATATGCGACGGGAGTGTGGGGAAAGGGAAAATGATTGAGTGAGTGAATGAATGAGTGAATGAGCCAAGGCGTCCCTCAAGGCAGCCACATGCTGCCACTGAAGTGGTGCCAGCCAGCCTCACCCTCCCTAGAGAGAGGCTCCTGGCAGCAGCCTCCAGGCAAGTGACAGAACCCCTCCCTCACCATGCAGCCCCTCCCAGCATTGCCCAGGAGTCCACCTGTGCTTCAGTCTCCCGGTCCCAGGTGGGCGGGGCCAGTTCCATTTACATGATGGTCTCGGGCCACCCAGATCCAGAAATGCTCAGTACCCTCCGGACAGGAAGCTGTTGACTGGTCCCAGCAGTCCCAGTACAGAAAGGTCCTAGTGAGTCTTCGGCCGGAAGGGCTCCGGCTGAAAAAGTGCTGTTGTGTGATGAACACTTGCCCAGATCACGGGTGTGTGGTAGGACACTGGGGTTGGACTCTCCCTCGCAGGCAGCCACATACTCCCCAGCCAAGGTCAGCAGCTCCACTGCCCACATGGAGGGTCCAACCAGGAAGTCTCCCATGGGAGGAACGGCAGGAAAGGGAGAGGCTGGGCTGGGCGATCTGCCCTGCTGCAGAGGGATTAGGATTGAAGAGGTGCCTCCAGGCTGTTCTGAGCACTTGCTTCCAGCTCTCCAAGGACCCATCCCAAGCTCCTTATGATCACCTACGTCTCCATTTCTGTGCCTTTCCTTCCCCAGGTCCTGTCTTAGCCCAGGTTCCTGGAAAAAGAGCACTTCATATGTGGCAGGAGTGTGGGGAAAGGGAAAATGATTGAGTGAGTGAATGAATGAGTTAGTGAGTGAGTGAATGAATGAGTGAATGAGTGATTGAGTGAATGGGTGAATGAATGAGTAAATGAGTAAGTGAATGAGGGAATGAGTGAGTGAATGAGTCAATGAGTCAGTGAGTGAATGAATGGGTGAATGAATGAGTAAATGAGTGAGTGAGTGAATGAGTGAGTAAGTGAATGGATGAATGAGTGAGTGAAGGAGTCAATGAGTCAGTGAGTGAGTGAGTGAATGAGTGAGTGAATGGGTGAATGAATGAGTAAATGAGTGAGTAAGTGAATGAGGGAATGAGTGAGTGAATGAGTGAATGAGTGGATGCGTGAGTGAATGAGTGAGTGAGTGAGTCAATAAGTGAGTATATGGGTGAGTGAATGTGTGAATGAGTGAGTGATTGAGTCAATGAGTGAGTGAGTGAATGAGTGTATGAGTCTATGAGTAAGTGAGTGAGTGAATGGGTGAATGAATGAGCGAGTGAGTGAGTGAGTAAATGAGTGAATGAGTGAGTGAGTGAATAAGTGAGTAAATGGGTGAATGAGTGAATGAATGAATGAATGAGTGAATGAGTGTATGAGTGAATAAGTGAGTGAGTGAATGACTGCGTGAATGGGTGAATTAATGAATGAGTGAGTGAGTGAATAAGTGAGTGAATGAATGGGTGAATAAGTGAGTAAGTGAGTGAGTGGGTGAGTGAGTGAGTGAATGGGTGAGTGAGTGAATGAGTGAGTGAATGGGTGAATAAGTGAGTGGATGAGTGAGTGAGTGAGTGGTTGAGTGAATAAGTGAGTGAGTGAATGGGTGAATGAATGAATGAGTGAGTGAATAAGTGAGTGAGTGAATACGTGAGTGGGTGAATGAATGAATGAATGAATGAGTGAGTGAATAGGTGAGTGAGTGAATAAGTGAGTAAGTGAATGGGTGAGTGAGTGAGTGAGTGGGTAAGTGAGTGGGTGAGTGAGTGAGTGGGTGAGTGTGAGTGAGTGGGTGAGTGAGTGAATGAGTGGGTGAGTGAGTGAATGAGCGAGTGAGTGGGTGAGTGAGTGAGTGGGTGAGTAAGTCAGTGGGTGAGTAAGTGAGCGGGTGAGTGAGCGGGTGAGTGAGTGAGTGAGTGGATGAGTGAGTGGGTGAGTGAGTGAATGGGTGAATAAGTGAGTGAATGAGTGAGTGAGTGGGTGGGTGAGTGAGTGAGTGGGTGAGTGAGTGAGTGGGTGGGTGAGTGAGCGAGTGGGTGAGTAAGTGAGTGGGTGAGTGAGTGAGTGAATGGGTGAAAAATTGAGTGAATGAGTGAGTGAGTGAATGAGTGGGTGGGTGAGTGAGTGAGTGGGTGAGTGAGTGAGTGAATGGGTGAGTGAGTGGGTGAGTGAGTGAGTGGATGAGTGAGTGAGTAGGTGAGTGAGTGGATGACTGACTGAGCGAGTGATCACACTGGAAGCTGAGTGGCTGACAGGGTTAGGTGGACCACCCCAGCCACTGGTGCTTCAGGAGGTCTGACCTGACCAGGTATAGCCAGGGTTCCCCTGAGTCACTGGCCCAGTTCATACCATGACCTCTGAACAGTCTGAGTCACCAGCCTGGCCCTCAGAGGGGAGTGCCCCCTGCGTGTCTAAGGCTGGGCCAAGCCCCAGGGCACCTGGCCAACTGGCCACCCAGGCCTTGCAGCCCCAGCCCCAGCTTTCTCCTCCCTCAACCAGATGTCACCCAGGGCTGCTACTGTGGTCCAGGCTGAGGGTGACTTCCCCCCGCCAGTGTTGGTGACCCCTGGCTGTGCTGGGCTTCCTCTTGGGACCTTGGTTCAGGCACCCAAACCTCTGGGCATGGGCCACGGGCTGACCGCCTGGTCCCATGAAAACCCCACCAGGCCAAGGCCTCAGGAAGCCTTAAGCCAGTGCCTACAGTTCCAGAGCCTACAGCCCCAAGCTCCACACACCCAGAACTTTCCAGAAAACCCACTGGGCCTTGTTTCCGAGCCCTGTAGGGGTTTCCGTCTGTCCCCAGGGGCAGTGAGGTCCCGGCCACGCCACCAGCTTCAGAGGGGAATCTAAGGGTCACTGCAGGCTTCCTGGGACCTCTCAGAAGGTGCAGGCAGGGTCGGCCGAGCCCCGGCGCGCTGCCTGGCTCCTGAGAACCCTCCCTGAGGCCTAAAGCTCTCAGCATATGCCCAGGAGTCCCACGCACCGGAGGGCTCCACGCCCCTTCAGCTCCCAGCCCCCCAGCCTGCACAGTAACTCCTGCTGCCTCCCAGCAGGGGCCCTGGCCAGGCCGGCTGGATACCTTCCCCCAGTCTGGGGCCAGTGTCAGCTCTGAGACCAGCAGCCAGGACAGGTGTAAGGCCAGTGACTTGGTCTCAAAATCAGGATCACTCTTCCCCCACGAGTTCCCGACCTCCCGAGGTAGCCGAGCATGGCACTTGCATCTCGGAACCCTGATGCCCCGGGCACCCTGCCCGCAGCACCGACCACTTAGCAGGCATGGCTGCATGTGCGGTCCGGGTGGGGCTGCAGCAGGGGCCTGGGGGCCGGCGATCTGAAAAGCAGGTGCATCCCTTAAAGCAGACCCTGCCTCAGCCCCTGAGAGCGGTGATGACCCCACGGGGCAGGAGTCCACCCTCCTGACTTGAGCCTGCATGCTCAGGTGAGAGGCACCTTCAGGGAAGGTGTGTGCCCGGGACCAGCAGCTGCCTGTCATCTGGAAAGTGCTTGCAGGAGGAGGGTCGCCAGAGCGGGGACAGTGCCGGGCGGTGGGAGCTTGCTTCTGTGGGATGTGCAGGAGGAAGTCTGTGCATGGTGGCGGCACGTGGGCTCCGCTGGGATCGCAGCCCACAATCCCTCCCTCTGCACTCTGGTGCCAGAGGCCCCACAGCTCTGGTCCTCGGTGGCCACCAGTGCCCTCTCTCCCCGGGATCTGACAGGTGAATGCAGACAAGAGGGCACTGGAGAAAGGGCGGGGGTCACGGCCCCGATAGGAGCTCCCAGCCAGGTGTTGCCACAGAGACAACAGGATAAGGAGCGGAGGGAGGCCCGGCCACATCCCAGGACGGCGCTGTCTCCTGCCACCAGGTGCTGGCCCCACCTCCAGCCCCCCGGACTTGGGAGGAATTGCATCAGACAGTTTGTCCTGGGTGACTAACTCATGTGAGATTAACCCCAGCCCGCACCACATCCACACCACATCCAGTGGGGAAAGCCCCCTGGGGATGGCTTCGACCCCACAGAGCTGGGGAAACAGCCTGGGGTGCCCCGGGGCCACCTCCCCTGGAGGAGGGAGTGAAGAGGGTCCTGCTTCCAAGGACTCCCCAGGAACCCCAGAATTCCCTGGGAGCCTCTCAAAGACTCCCACAGGTGTGTATGTTCCAGGTTCCTCAGCCCCACTAGGCCCAGCGCACACTGTTAGGGGCACCTGGCCCAGTCTGCCTTCCAGCAGCATCAGGAGAGGCCCCCAGCCCAGCCTGAGCCCAGCCCAGTGGTTACTGGCCAGGTGAGCAGGGGAGGGAATCACTGGTTTCAACATCGCAAGCCCTGGGCTGGGCTCACACCCTGCCCCTAGCCTGTCACTTCC